TTAGTCGTCTCGAATTGAAGCAGGTTGTCTGAAATAATGTTGTTTTTCAAAAACTACCACAACCGATGATAGTGTGCTCTTCTCGTCGTGACTTCAATTTCTTCGATTATAACATCATTTTATCACGATTTAAATTATAGTGAAAAAAAACTCCGTAAAAGTCGGTAAATAATAATTATAGGATGATTTTTTTTTATATATGTTCTTATTTACACAAAGGCTGGCACAATGCTGCCAGGTTCTGCAGTGTCCCTTTTGTCGGACTACTCGACCGATTTGCAGCCTTGAAATCGGGAGGGGGAGGGTTAGAGGTGACAATGTGAAAAGCAGACGACGGTTTTTTGAGAAAATATTTTTTTTTCAACACTTATCGATTTTGTACGCCATCTCTTCGGTTTATCCGTCTGAGACATGAACGCGTACCCAACGGTTGTAGTTTTTTTATTTTTACGTACATCCTAAAAACTATGGTGGGGCAAACTTGTTTTGAAAAGTGAAGACCACAATATTATTATAACCACTCCTAGCTGCTGCAGTGCAGCACCAGTGACTTGCGTCGGACCGGAGTAAATCATTTTTAACCTATTTCGGTTTAACGGCAATTCGATACTATCTATGTGTAACTCCTCGGGTATAATATATTTAAATATCACTTCGGCAGTAGGCGAGGTCGTCGATTTATCCGTTTGAAAAAATAATCACACCATCATCAATCGCAGTGTATAGTGCTAACACTTCAGATAAAACATACGTTTGTCTTCAGATGCCCGAAAATCGGTTACTCAATACAATCGATCGGTCTAAACTCATAAAGTTAATCATTTTAAGACCTCGTTGGCTATTACTAAGGGTCATTTTTTTTTCTTCACAATTTGTTATCACGAATCATCTAGTTTTGCGACTCGAGCAAATATATATCTCACACATTTAAGTTAGTTTTGAATTATTTAAGAGATGGGGTTGTAACTAATATTCGATCTGTTTAGTCGACAATGATGATTCTTCAGCGATTTTCACTCAACACTTAAACAACTAGCCTTTTTTCGGTGAAACCCATAAAACCTACATTTAAAACTTACAACACTCGCCATGTTTAACAACAGCTTCCCCCGACCTGCTTCCAAAGAGCATTTACAAAATTGCCGCATATCCACGAACAAAGGTTCTCCGATCCGTCCCTCTGTCTCTCTCAAGCCTCATCCTATGTGTTATGTTTGCGCTTACGATATTCAAAATACAAATCGCGTTTCGGCCGTCTGCCAAGTGTGAAAATTATCATATTACTCGTGCGGGGGCATCGGTTTGCCCACGCATCCGTCTCCCTACTCCCGTCAGCTCTTTCTCCTCTTGTGTGCCGGTCGACGACCGACTTTCGGCTAGGTCGATTGATGGGTAGATTGTGTAAAAAAAAAATGTCATGTCTGTGTGTGTGTACTTATGTGTAATTCCAAATGGAAACGACGCCTCTCTAAAACGTGTCGATGGGGGGAGGGGGACGGCAGTTGCGAACGAGTAGCTTACACGTGCCGTTTGTGTACGAGACCAGCAAAAAAAAAAATTCTTAAAATGTACGATAATTACAACAAATATATCTGATTTTACAAAGTGTTGTTTTTATTATTATTTTTTTTTTTTACACAGCTGGCTTATGTCTAAAATTTCTAGCGACTATCTATTTCTTATCTACGATTCAAGCCCAGCAAAAAAATCGTTTTCCCCCTTCCAAAGTCGGGGATCGAAGTTCAGTCTGGATTTCATTCGGACAATTTTTGTCATCTTAATTTTTTGCTTTTATTAAACTTTAAAAATAAGTAGTTAATAATATTTTTATTGTATTGTCGATTAAAGTGAATAGGTAACAAAGGCAAACGATAATTTAGCAACCCTAATACTTAAATTAAAATTTTACCCATATTATTGCCACAATAATGATTTTTTTTTTATCAAAACTGTTTATTTACCATCTGTATAGATAAAATACGATAAGCAAACTAGATAAATAATTAGTGTTACCTTTACATAAATACCTGATAATAAAAGGATTACATTTAGCATGAAAAAAAATAGACTGGTTGTTTCGTTAGTTGTTGTTTTAATTATTTTTCAAACGAGTCAAAATATTCAACAGATTATTCTGAACTCAATAAATTAGCGGTTATATATATATATATATATAATACGATATGTTATTATTAAATTATACTTTGGCGCCAGTTGTCGAGTAAAAGTCGATTAACCGACCAGATTAATATTGTATAAATATAAGCGTTGTGTGACTGTCGGTTTGGAAAGTGACGGGCTAATATCCATTATACTATATTGTTATTGATGTTATCGTCTCGGCAAAAACCGGTGGGCTCGAAAAAAGTAAGAAAATAAATTAAAAGGAAATAAATTAAATAAAAATCGCCAGTCATTAAAGTTTAGCCGGAGAAAACTCGCAGCGTGAAACCTAACCCAGCCGAAGGTGGGCGAACGACCGCGCGGTTGTGTACTTTCACGGTTTGCTTGATAAACACATAAAAAAAGCACTCAGGCATTTGATGTGTCTTAAAGTTACCTATGACTGTGTAAAAAATGCCAGACCTATGAATTTACCTATGACTCACTACGATGAGTCTGATGAAAAATGTCAATTTTTATACCAGTCATTGAAATGTTGTTGTATAGGAAAAAAGACAAAGTTTTGTAAGAACCTAATGCCAAATAAACCGTGTCCAAGTTTCTTGCTGCTAAACACTAAAACATGAAATAATCACATAAAAAAAAATTGTCTTGAAGTTTAACATGTTTGTATGTCTTTTTTTTTGTCGATAATATGGGGTTTAAAAACCTATAATCAGAGCCTATTCAAACTAAACTTTTTTAATTTTTTCATAGTTTTTTTTTCAATATTAGTTCTCTAATGACTTAGCCTAAAATTTGCTAAAACCTAACCTGGTCTGATAAAGAGAGGAAGGGATAGGATGGTGATAAGATGATAAATCGATAATTCATCCGGGAATTATAGATTTATAACATAATATTGATAAGAGAATCGACTGATAAGTGACAGAAATTCATCATTGACGTTGTAACGATTAAATGCGTTTCCTTCGGCAAGAATTTTTTTTTGCTGCCACAACAGCCTTATATGTATTAATTATTATACTACTAGGTATAATAATAGTATACAGTATAACATAGCAGGATAAAAAATAGATTACAAGACGTCTCCTGTCAGATTAATGTAATTGCAAGAAATAATACACTTAATGAACCGAGATGGGTGTGCAAAGCTACTGTGTGTGCGCAAATAAAAATATTATTAACATGTAAATTGCGACGATTATTATTACTAATATTTCACCGGGGTTTCGCTTGTTAAAAATTTACATAACGCCGTACGATGGATAGATAAAACATTATAATAACATTAATAAATCCGGATTAGGTGTGTGTGTTTTAGTATCCATTTGTAAATGTTACAAAAAAGCTTAACAAATCGGACTAGTCTCGACGGTTTTTTTTATTTCCCATAAAAAAAATCAATGACACGACCAAGCCAATCCAATCATGGTTATAACAGTTGATGTATAATAATAATAATATAATATATTACAAGGCGATCAGCTTAACGAAATACGCTTATTTTCTCTTAGAATACTTGCAAATTTTCAATTGTGTCTTTTTTTTTAAACCATGTTATTTTAAAATATTATGAAATTACCATGTGTTTACCTTTTTAGTACCTATTTTCCAAAACTCTTATCAACTTTAGAAACTTAATCGGTAACGTACGTAGTAAATTAATAACTTTTAAAATTTAATAAAATTTAGGACGGGAGATATAGTGGTGTGGTGGTAGAGTAAAGCGCGCAGATAAAAATAACACTACACAGAAATTATCTAAAACTGGTTATCGACCAGTGAGTGGACATTTTCAGCAAATCATTCTTAATTAAAAAAGTTAATCAAAAATCATCTACGTTACCGTTTAGATTTGAGAGTTGATTGAGCTCTTTAAATATATATATATATATATATATATAAACTTGAATATTGCCTAACAAAAGTGTATCCCCAAAAAGAAAAAAACTACAAAATTGCAAAACTATTTCTAGAGAAACCTTGGGCCTGGCGTTAAATTAAACGGCCTGTATAATACACGAGAAAACTTGTTAAGTCTTTGAGATTATGCACCCTATCCGGGGCCCCTGGTCGAGGAAATGGAAAAATAAAAATAGAAATCTGTCGGTCGGCAAAAAATTGCATATTAAAAACGCATTCAGAGTGCATGCAAAAGGTGCGGGGGGGAGTTAGGAGTGGCTTCGCTAGGTTTCCCCTCTGCCCCAGCCTCACTCTCCCTGTCTCTATCTACCGCCCCCCTATCTCTGGCCATCTCTCTTTTTATGTCGGTTTCGCACGTCGCTTGTCCGTCAGGCTGCATTGTGGGTTGCAACACACAATAACAAAACCAATAATGAATGCACTTCACACTCGGACGCCAAATGACTTCTTCGTGCAAACCGTGTTGTATGTGCAACGGAGTAAGGTTATTTATGTTTTTTATTTTTTACACTTCCTTTTGTATTGCCAATATATATTATAATAGAAACGATAATAGTAAAAAATAACAAACCAGCGGCGGGCACCGACCTCACGCCAATTTGTGTTGAGGTAGGTCTTCGTTCTTCGGCTCATATAAAAAAAAAAATACTACATTCAGTCGTCCGTCTATTACGGGAACGGCCGTCACACCGTGTATCCGCTGTGGTTAGGTCGGAAAAAAAATTCGTTCGGCTAGGTAACAAAAAAAAAAAAAAATAAAACAATAATAATAAAAAATTAGTACCGTTAGTCGTGTTTGCGCAATTTTGTAAAATAATAACAATAATTAACGACCGGCGACGGCGCCAGTCGTTACCGATTTTTTTTTTTTTGCCTATCTATTGTTATACGTTTTTTTCCCTTTGCTTTGACCGCTTAAATGTTCATTTTTTTTTTTTCATTTTTTCCAGACAGATTTGTTAGATAAATGTCAACTCCGAGTCTGGGCCTACCTGGATGATTACACGGTGTACACCTCCACCGCCGCCACCGACAACAACACCGGCAGCAGCGTCACTAGCAGCGGCGACACGACCTCGCCGTCGCCGTTCCGCCTGTGCCTTGTCACCGCGGCCGCCAGCGCGCCCGACAAATACGTGGCCTGCCGTTCCGAAACCCTTCTATCATACTGGATGTGCGCTATGAGATTGTCCAAAGTGAGTACAATAATCCTTTTTTTTTTTTTTTATTTTACAAAAGAAATATACAATCTGTACAATAATCTAGAAAAAACCTTATGCGTATTTCGGCAACAATGTTATAATCTTCGTTCAAAATCAAAAATCTGTTTGCTATATAACCTAGTAAAGCGACTTTTACAGAATTGAAATCGGACCATCCCAAGTAGTCGAAATTTTGTCTGGCTTTTTGGTCTAAAACGTCAAAAAAACAGACCGCTTGCAATCCCCTTAACATACTCGTATCGTGGTGATAAGATATTATTGATAACATTAATAAACGCAGTAATAATTTAAGATAAGGGGTAAAACTTGCTCAACAATGAAGAACTTTTTTTCCCCTTGTTTTGTGTGTGGTCATTCTGGTTATAGTCTTTCAGTTTTCTTCACTATCGCATACAAGCCAGTAAATTATTATGTTAGGTAGTTCATCTCTTACATTATTTATGTTTTTTTTTCCTCGAATTTTAAAAAAACCAATAAAGAATTATTGATTTTCTCATTACCGCCATCCTACCCCTTCTCTCTGTGTCACCAAAGCGTGCCGCCAATATTTAGTCATAAGGCATTGGCGTGTCCAAAATTGATCTAGCGACGTGTACCCTCGCCCAAGTTCAACTGGGTCCTTTGTTCGGCACCCTAACCAGATTCGTTATTTTTCTTTTGTCCGCAGTACGGCAAGCAGTTGCGAGATAACTACCGTTCGTTTGTGAAGAAACAGGGCGACTCCAACGATTATGAATACAACAAGAAACCGTTGCCCAGCGAGAGCGTGCGCAGCCACGTAGCCATGGACTTCTCGGGCAACGTGGGCAGGATCGTCGAGGACCCGAAAGAAGCACTGGCCATCGCCCAGGCGGAGACGGGCAGCGTGCGCAGGAGTTGGCGGTCGAGCGGCCGGTCCACGCCGGGTCTGCAGGCCGCAGTGACCAGGCTGGAGAACGACGTTCACCTGTCGCAGCCTTGGTACCACAAAAATATGAGCCGAGATCAGGCGGCCAACATTCTCAACAAACAGGGCAACAAGGACGGGTAAATGCCTGCCGAAAAATGTCTGTGCCTTTATCGCTGTTAACCGGTGTCGTTTTGTTTTGTTTTTCTTTCTAGGGTGTTTCTAATACGAGAGAGCAAGAGCAAATGTGGCTCTTATGTACTGACGTTCAAGTGCGGTGGAAAAATCGTACACACGCCCATCGCAGCGGTAAGACGCATTCCGCGACCGGCAAAGGCTGGCTACTGATATTCCAATCGAAAATGCTTCGGCACAAAAGAGTTGACAAAATAAAAACCCAGTCGATTGGCACGTGATTATGCCTTATGGCACAAAATATTGTCGAAACAAGCTCAAACTAACACTTTATCTTTGACTTTAATTCCATCTAATCCAATCCTACCGATCCTATTTCGGGTTTGTAAATAAAAAAGAGTTTTCGGACACTCTCGATGGACTTTCTCAGTATAGTTTCTTGCAATTAAAAACACCAGTTAGAGCTGTATGGTTAGGTGGTATGTTTTAGTTGGCTGTACGTTGGGTTGAATATTAGTTGGCTGTATGTTAGATTAGGTCAGGTCAGGTTCGTTAAATTTTCTCAAATAACTCGTGGGGTTTTTTTTTTTACATACAACTAATAAAACCTTAACCGTTTCGATAATACTCGATAGTCACTTGCCAGCCACGTCGGACTTGCCGGTTGTTTATGACCTTTTGATCTCAAATAACAACTTACACTAACATTTTTTTTCGTTTTTCTTGTAGCAAATGGATCCCATTTACGACGTGGTGTGCTTCACGCTGGACAACGGCGTGACGAAATTCTACGACCTGCTGCAGTTGGTCGAGTTTTACCAATTAAACGCGGGCAGTCTACCCACACGACTGATGCACTATGTGGTGCAAGTCAAAGAAATAGAACCAAAATAAATTATTATTTCACCCGCAGTTCCCGCGCCAGTATAACACAGTTCCTGTCGACACGATATATTCTCATCCAAAAGGTGTATGTTTGTGTGGTACACATAAACAATAATTGAAAAGAAAACATTTTTTTAAATCTGTGACAATTTATTTTTTGACAGACAAAAAAACAAAATATACTCCTACTTTTCAGGTATTTTTTTTTTAATTTATCAAAATATTTTCAAAAATACTTATTATTTGTCTTTTTTCGGTTTTTTTTTTCATTTGTTTTCTTTATGTAATGTAAAAAATGATAGGGGGTTTTATTATTTTTTTTTTTTTTTACATGACCGTAATAAGTTATTGTATAAAAAAAAGAAGGAAAAAAACCAAAATTATGTGACTGAATTAATATTTGTTAAAGCGTCTACCGTTTTTTTTTGCTAATTTTGTTTTTAGACTTGATATTTTTTTTTTTTGACACATTTTCTGTGTCGAAAGTAGTTGTAATTTTTTTTTTTTTTTAATAAGAATAATAGTAATAATCCCTAATGGGTTTAAAATATTATAATTTAGCGCGATCAGTTCCTAGATTAACTAGTTCGTAACATTCAATCAATCACCTTTAGGACTTATATATATACATACATATATAATAAATTACGATAATGATAATAACAATAATAATAATAATAATAGTAATAATAATCATTGATAATTATGAATAGTTCTAGGAAAAGTAATAATAATATATTTTATTATTATTCATAAAAAATACAAAAAAAAAAAAATGACTTTTTAATCATTTTTTTTTTTGTATATATATATATATATATATAAGACATACTAATTGTTGTTTATATTGTGATAATAATAATTTTGTTGTCTTGCGTTTAAGCTAAGACAGACCAAATATTTAGTTTGTAAGCGTACATTTATCATAATAATATACAAAATTAAACGTATTATTATTTTGTTTGACTAAAATAACAAATAAACACGGTAAATCGGTAAAGTCAAAAATATGTGTTAATAAAAAGCAATAATAATTAATTATATTACTAAAAAAAAAAAAAGTAATCACCGATACGAACCGTGTTATTATTTTTAAACGGTAATAATAATTTGTAATATTGACCAAACATGCTGAAAAAAAAAATGTACTTGTAATTTTTGCACGTTTGTCGATTGTTGTTAAAAATCATATTTTTACGTATATCGAAATATTCGCTCGCAAGGAGCTCAAATCGTCGTTGGCCTTTCGTCTGCTGTATGTATACAGCATTAATTTCATATTTAATTGTGTATATTATTTAAAAAAATAATAAAAATTCTGATTCGCAGACGCAAATTATATAATATAAATTAAAAAAAATTCAAAACCTACTTGGGTCGAATACTACAAATTGTTTTTCTTTTTATACGTGTGTATTGTACATAAATGTAAATTTTATCAGAGCGATTCAGACGTTTTCATCAAATGATATACCTTGCGATCTAGTTTTAACATACTTAAAATATCTAAACGAACCAAAACTGTATTACCGGAATTTTTTTTTGAAACAAAGACGTTTGATTACCACTTGCAAATTTGTGTAGTATAAAAAGGCGTCAAACTCGCTCGTTTTGAAACCAATTTGACTTAACTCAACAATTACATTGTCAAAAACCCACAATTGTAATAAGTGCGGATGATTTTTTTATTTATTTTTTTTAAATTTAAAAATTTAAGATGTTTTGACAAACGTTAAAAATTGTCATTTACTCTCGTATTAAATTTAAATAAATTAGCCGATTCGGCGGTCGTCATTCGGATTACGGCCGAAACGAATGTGATAAGCGCAGTGCAATTAAAATAAAACGAGAGAAAGTAAGCGAAATAAATTAAAAGCAATATTGTTATTTTTCGATATTAGATTAAAATTTAAAAAAAATAACATAGGATAATATAAATAAATAATTAATATATTAATCGTACGGTTATTTAAAAAATTATAATTTTAAATATATAAATGTATTTAATATAATAAGATAATATTATCAAGTCAATGTTTATGTGATTATCAAAGTACAAATGACCTTTTATTAATTTATTCCCCTCCCCCCCCCTTTTTTTATTAAAGTATTACCATTATTTAATGTATAATTTTATAATTTCGATATTATGAAAAAAACAAATATAATATAATATATTATAATGATTTATTGAACGTCGGTGAGACGATGGATGCGCATTATTTTGTGGCCAACACAATACAAAATATTCTTTTATTATTGTAGTCGTCAATTGTAAAAATTTTTTTTGTAAAATGGCATTTTGTGTTCCTACAATTTGTTATTGCGTTTGAAAAAATATGATTTAAAAATTATTTGTGTATTAATTAAACTTTTTTTTACATATTTAAAATAATAAATAATTATTGTCGAATCTGGATATTAATGTATTGTATTATTATTGAAAATTTCGTATTAGTCGGTAAGAGTATTATTTTTTAAAAATTATTATTTAAAATGGATATTTATTATTATTATATTTAATTTATTTTTGTGTTTTTCGATACTAATTACAATCATCGTACGTCTCTCCGATAGGTACATATTTATTTATTATTTTTTTTTTTTTATATTAATGTATAGACAATCGAGTCATAGGCAGTTTTTACAAAGAAAAAATAATACATTACTTCCCTTAATTTCACGACTATTAAAAAAGTAATATCATTATTATTTGTATTATTATGTTTGATTTTGTGAAAAAGAAGATATAAAACCAAATTTATATATAACAAAATTATTGTTGTGGTTTTTTTGTGAGTATGTTGCCGTTTGTTCAGTTATCGTAAAAAACGTTAAACAGTCGATAGAACGCCTGGTGTGTTGGAAAATAAGAAAATCAAATCGCATTAGTTAAATAAAAAAACGTTTTGACTACTATGCTGAATTTTTACCAACCTAAACAAACACATACTGTTGTTTTTTTATACAGACAAAAAAAACTAATTTTGACACAGGTGCTATAAAAGTAAATAAAATTAAATATATATATTTTTTTATTCCTGAGTAATACTTAGTTAATTACTAAGATTAAATATTAACTGCATTGTTTCGAACAAAATACATTTGTATAAAATATTATTATACATAGTAGATAATGCACAATTTATCTGGGATATATTAAGTATACAACATGTTAGTTGTTAGTGGTCAGAGAAAATTGAATTATTAAATGTGGTTGTCAGGGTGGTAACTTCTTGATTTTTGTCTTGAACTATGTAAACAACACGATTTTCTTCGAAATTAACTGTCGACAGTATAAGATTATAGACCGTTTTATTTTTTTTTTTTATATATAATAGCCTTTATAGTTTATTGAATAGACCGTTATAACCCCAACAGTTTTTAACACTAGCTTTTATTATGGTGCATTGTAAAGAAAATTTTTCACTAAAACTTAACATTAAGCTAAAATGTCTAAACATAAATGTTACCACAGGAAAGAGGGATCTATGTTGGTACATATATATATATATATAATAAGCGATTCTTTATCTACCTGCTAAGAAATAATGATAGACGAGTAGCTCTTATCTGCTTATTTCAAACACGGTAACGGCTAAATTAGTCTTAGTAATAAGTAATAACTAATAACGAAAGAATATTAACAACAGTTTGGAGAAAAATGAAAATCTCTACTAAGTCGTAGCAAGCGAACAGATTGATGAAAATTACAAATCCAAACGCTAACATTTTTTTAAAAAATTAAACGCAGTCGACTATATTTTTTCCTCCATGATAAATGCAATATCAACAGCTTTTTACTGATAACCGTGTTTTATGTTTGTTATCATCTATGGCGCCTAAATAATCATTTTAGAGATTGTTGCCGTAAACCGTTTCATTTTCTAATATCTTTCATTTACTTTGTAAAAAAATTATTATTGTTTTCCATTACTCTGTGTACTTACATCTACCATTGTTGTCATTTTTAATTTATTCAATTTATTTGTTGAAACTTGATATCGTCTTAACGGGCAATATATTCCGTTTCGATGATGAGTTTCGACCTGGAACTAGCGATTTGGAAAGATCTACCTGTGCAATATTGTGCCCCTGATACACGAATAAACCTCCTGAGCAGTGCAACGATTCAGAAAGTTAAGGTCCTTCAGGGTAAGCACCTGAATATGTCGAATTAACAACTGATGTTAATAACAAACATTTTGTATGTATAATTAGTAATCCTGAATATGACAACGAACTACGGAGCGTACAACGAGTTTCCTGGAATGTCAACGCAAAGTATTCCAGACTAACAGTCCAGCGATTCGGGAAGTGGTAGTTCATCCTAAAAAATTGAGCTCCCACTACTCGAGTGAGACCACAATTAAACAAATCAACAATTGTATTAATAACAAACATTTTGTATGTATAATTAGTTATTTAGATAATTCGTTTTAATGTTTAACTCTTGTATATGGGAGGTGTTTTTAAAATTTTATTTTTTTTAATGCACGATGAGTTTTGGGTCAAAGTAAAAGTTAACACCTCTTTTAGGGAAAAAGGTTAATGATATTTTTTTGGTTTGTCAACGTTTATCGGTAGTATGTCATCTTAAAAATATTTTATACAAATTTGGCTGTTTTTAAAAAAATTATAGAGCCACGTATTTTTAAATTGAAAAATCTGTACATTTTTTGGGTGTTTTTCAAATTGTTGAAAAGGGAAGGAGAGAACTTATTTAATGTTAAATGACTCAATAACGTACATTTATGTACAAATTCTAATCTAGTCCAGTCTAGACAACTTCATGTAGCCAGCTACATGATGAAATTCGATTCAGTGCTTTTAAAAGATACTATCGTGGGTTAAAACCAGGGGCAGATAGGCCCCTGCTAATATTGACTAATATTTAAAAATATTGTTATTGATATACAAATAAAAATTAATAAATACAATAATACTGAAATCTATATTTAAATCTAGTTTAAATCTACAATTATCATTGTATGACTGAGCAGTGGGGAAGTCCAAAAAATAATTATCAATTAAGAGATTTGTTGGAATATTTTTCCAAAAAAAAACTTGATATTTCGATTTCAAGAAATAACAAAATTTATGGACTTATAGTTCCATAGATATTTTAATTCTTGCTTAGGTGGCCGCGATTCCCCCCACCTTCCCCTAATTTAAAAATACAAAATTGCATTTTATATTTTTATCTTTGATAAAATTCCAAATTGATAACTTTCAAAAAATCATTTTACTTATACATGTTGTGATTATTTTGACTATTTTAAACAGGGAGTAAAAACGTTTCTTTACAATTATTATCTGTCGGTACCAGCGATCCCAGTACACGAATAAGCTGCCGACTAAAACAATCAAGAACTCGGGTATTCATGACAAACATTATCACAGATAAGAGGACGAAGGTAATCAACTTTACATATATCATGTAATTTTTCGTAAAATCTTTATTTAGAGTTTAAACTATAATGTATACTTATTAATACAGTAATGAGGATACTTTGTTGATTGCCATTTTTTTTGTCAGACTATCACAGTAATTTCTATAGGATAAATTTAAATTTTTTCCCCATCAAAATTGCTTTGCGCGGCTTAATTTTTCTCAGGCTTCATATATAGTTAAGGAAAGAAGAAATTCATACATATTATACATGACAAAATTATCTTTGCTTCAGCATCCGTATTTTTTCGATATACCTAATTCAACTAAAGCTATATCATTTTTAAAAAAGTCCTTTCTTAATTAATTTATTATTCATTAAATGGTTTAAATATTAAAAAAAGGGCCATGATAAAGCACAGACAATGTTGTTTATATTATGTGAATATTTGGTTTCTTAGTTTTGTTTACAGCCTTTGTAAAATTACGCTGCGCAAGGCGGGGTTTTTGAAGAAAATAACGGGTGGTGACGCCTTTTTAAGAATATTCCATAGAAATTAGTTACTAATTCAAATATTTATAAAAAAAGTTATACAGCATCCTAGTGTGAAGGTACTAAATATGTAAACCTTTTGGGTTCTTTTCTTTATTTTGAAGAGTAAGGGGTGATCTTTTCAACTTTTCAGATCATTAAAGTAGCTTTTAGGTACGATTTCTGTTCTATAGTTGTCATTTAAAAAAAATTAATTCAGTGGTTTAAAAGATGTCGTCCAAACACAAAATTGTTAAATAAATAAATTAAAAAAATTATTCTAAACAAAACCTTTCCAGGTATTGTTTTTTATCACATATTTTAGCTAATATAAATTATAATTTATTCATTGAACCCATTGGGATGAAATAAATATATATGAAATAATAGGTGACAAAATTGTTTTATGAGGTGCGAGACCTTTTGCTCCATTGTCATTTTTGCCTACCAAGTTGGGCGTAAGTCGTGAAATTTACTTTAACCCATTAGCGCCTAACATTGCCATATGACAACATCAAATTTTTTCAAAATTTAAATACACAATTTTTGTTTTTTTTTTTATTTAAAAAATAATAAGAAACAAGCATCCAAGACTCCAATTAATGAAAACAAAAAAACCCTTACCTAAGCTGATTCAAAGTATTTTGTTTTCCATTAAGCTATTATTTTTAACAACCTATACAAGCAAACATAGCTTGTGTATGTACATAGAAGGGCCAACATCTCACAACAAGGTTGACAGCCTCGACATACGTTGACAATGTTTTAAAAGTTTTACTTATTAATTATTTAATTTAGTTTGTTTGAAAATTTGGTCTTTTACAGCATTTCAGATGTGGTGTAAATGAATCTTGGAGAAAAATATCCAAAAATATATTTATTAATATAAATTTTATTTTATCTAGTTTTTTCATGTATGCTTTCATATTTTGTTAATAACTTGTTCCTATTGTTTATACTACAGTTACATTCAATTTTTTTTTGTACTCAAGCTTAACGTGACCTTTTGAGATTGCTTATGTCAATATTATTGTATTCTTGCTACCTACCTTTTCATAATTATTGTGTATATATAAATATTTTACTTCAATTGTAAATCTTATAATTTATTTACTCTGTATATTTTTTATTAAATACTTATAAAATTGAACGTTGTTTTAATAATTAAATAAGTAAAAATAACGGTAACTATGGCAATAAATTATTATAGACAAACCGTAATCGTTTTTACCCTATTACTAAAAATCTATTTTAAGTGCATTGTTGTCATTAAATAATGGAATAATTCATCTATATGAATATGTGTTATAATATTTATAACATTATATATATTTTTAAATATTATTTTATTGATAATATAAATATATTGAAAAACTCAATACGATCACTTAATCAGTACGTGAACTATAACGGGTACACAATACTCTTGTACATGAGTAATACCCGATTACCCGGGTATCAAGATCTCTAGCTACATCACTTGCAAGTTTATTAAATTATATTGTTGCATCTAACAGGTAGTTACAGTAAGATTCCACAGCAAAGTGTTCATAAGTCAAAGCGTTGGTAAGATACTTACACTGAAGAACTGCCATTATACCTACGCGAGAAAATTCTAAAATTAAGTGGTAACTACATTAATTATGTATTTAATCACGATGCAACCCCAAATGATTATGGTTCTATACTAGAAAAAGTATGTGAAACAGATGGGTTGGTGTTCAGAGGTAATTGACCAAAGACTGAAAATCAACTGATCATAAGACATGGTCGTGGTTTATTGTGTTTCTCCTAAGAAAAATATTGAATAATTATTGATTTTATTTCGGTTTATACAAATAATGCACCAGTTTCTTTGGTTGATAATACATATTATATTTTATTGAACACGACGTGCACACAGCATGTGCCAGCAATGCAGTTAGCGTTTAAAACATGTAAAGAAATTTGAAAATAAATAACTGACATTTTACAAGACAAATACATAGTAACAAGTAATACAGCCGTACGCCGCCGTCTCTTATAGTTAGTATTCGAGCGCAGGCACTCGTGCAGGGTTTTGTTTTCCGGTGTATTTAAATCCTAGCAGTGAATACAAACCAAAGAAATCGATCAAGTGGTTAGCTATTTTATTGTCAGTGTAATCGAGTACCCTCTGGCCGATCAAAGGCTCATTCTTATATTGACTACTGGCAGCCATTTTGATTTGATCGAAGGTCTCGTTGTCGGATAATTCACAATTCTGCTGAATCACGTGCCTAAACAACGGCATAGTGTAAACGTAATATTTAATCAATTTCGACATGTGACCTTCGACCGCGTTGATGTCGACTTGGCCGTTTGCCCGTTGAAAACGTTTTTCGTTTCCTTCCGACTTGGAAAGATCTATAAAGCCAATTACCTGATCTATGAACTTGTCGATTGAGCTGTGCAGATCCGGCCGCAAATTCTTGAGGTACAATAACGCACTGTGTGCGTACCTGAACATTTTCAACGCTTTGACCACGTTGGCCGATACGTTGAGTTGGCATTTCGCGAAGAACCGCTTCTGTCTTTCGACCATAGCGTTTTTGCAAACTGTCACCTGGTGACGTACTAGAATCCAGTGTTTCTCCAGAAAGTCCATGAACTGACAACCGAGCAAAGTGGCTGTCATAAGGAACTTTTCATCGACATCTTCGGCGGTCACTGGTGGCAATTGCCGGAAAGAGAAACGTTTTACTTGTTCTCCGTTGGACACAACGAATTTGGCTTTCGCGGTAACGTTATTGCTCCATTCGAGTCCAAACTTAGTGAACCAATTGTTGAGATGGTCAACAAGCTGCAACGGTCCAGTGCACGAAGCCAACGGCCGACAAAAGCATAATATTATCGCCAACAATGAAACCACCGAGTGCAACGATTTCAATTGCATGTTAATTACCCTGTAAAACGACAAAATTGTTGTGTCTAACAAAGTTAAATGAAAAAACAAAAATCACACGACTAGTATATATGATTTTAGATGTTTGCACTGAATGCATCGATGCGTTTTTTGTATTCGTCAAGTGTAGAAAAACATACAATGCCATTGTGTAAGCCATTTGTGCCATTTGTGTAAGCGAAGTCGACCTGTTTGTGGCTTTAAACCGAAGAAAAACACATAGAATATAGGTGTATATATATTTTTTTTAATGACTCACTGTTGTATTTAGGTAAATGTTTTATTACACACACTACCTATGACTTATTCATATGTTGAAGTTACGCTTATGGACTCTACTCAATAAAATCTTTTGGTTTTAATGCGAGAAGGATATGCATTCATCAGGATTTTCAACACCTACAGACAGTTGAGAAAATTCTGTCAAAGAAACCGTTCCATCTAGGCAAAAAAAAAACCCCTTTTGTTTCATATTGAAACTCAAGTGCTTTTTCATTTCCATAGATGAATCGACTACACATAGGTTGTTATTCGATTTTCGATCGAAAATATTGCTGTAACTGGAATACTATGAATGGACCTGTATATTAGTCATAGGTACTTTGCTATTGTGTATTAATTATTGACATAATGATTCGGACGGTCTCGGGTGTACTGTTGGTTATTACAGCACTCTTATGGTTATGTGTCCATCGGTTTTTGTATTGAATTTGTGTTTTTCAACGATGACATTTATATTGTTAAACTTTCTACAGGCGTGTATTGTAATAAACGCATTAAATTCCTTGTTCCACAGTCGAGTAAAAAAGCGGCACTCACGTCGATACATGAATATTTTAGTAGGCACACTTAGATCGAATGCTTTGTATTGGAATGGAAATGATTATTGACAACTTCGAAAGGTTTTTCGGTTTGTGGCAAGTTCAATGAAACGGCGTCGGGCACATTAGTCTGAATGGATGCGCTCCAACTCTGAAGGTGTCCGCAGTAAAAACTCGGTGAACGAATTTTGTCAATTTTTTTTTATTCCCACCATTGTTGTCGTCATGAAGCTATACAAGCCGTTGCAAGTGTGCGGCTACTTCCTGGGCGCATTCCCGTGCTTCGAACATTGCGACGGGTTTCGCGTGCACTGGATAGGCGTCACGTTCAAAGCGGTCTTTTTGTTGCTATATTGGAAAATAACCATAGCCGTGATCAAGATATCCCTAATGTCGTTATCATCGAACGGTTCGCCGATCAAGAACAAAAACTTAACGTCCCGCGTGCTCAACATCGACGCCATTTACGTTTACATGTTGTTCAGCGAAAGTGCCACAACTTTGGTGTGCCAATTGCAGTTCTTCAGGCCGTCAGTTTACCAGCTCGTCAACGATTGCTTTTATCATCTGTGCCGTCTCGACGACGTTTCGGTGACCGAGCAGTACTTCTCGGCTTTTTCCGTGGTCATGTTGGTCCTATACGAAGTGGCCATGTACTTTATATTGATCCAAAAGTCAGTGAAAGAGTATTGATCGAGTAGGCTGAAATCAAACGTGTCACACGATCCAAAAATCACGGTTTTCCAATCCAAATCGGTTGTCATACCAATTACTTTCAAATCTAAATCTGGCCTGTTTTGGTGTGTATTCAAAAACAAACTGATAACAGTTTCGGATTTCTCGAAAAAAATCCTATAGCATAATGATGTGTTCATTTACAATTTTTTTTTTAAATCGTGTGATTTTGTATTCCAGTCTACTCAATTATAAATTTTTTAAACGATTCCAGAAATAATGAACCCAGGAAAAACTAAATTCTCTAAAATTAATCTCTATGAAAAAAGCTAGCACAGTTGGGTCGGCCACATAGTGAGCATGGAGCATAATGAAGTCAGTGTATTCACAGGACTTTAGAAACTATTATTGAGTGATGAAATCAAGGTTGATCATTTGTCTATCCCAGTAATGTGTTGTCGTTGTTAACCACACATTGTAATCAACAATATTGAACAAGTATTGTTTTGATACCGGTTGATTAATTTACACTTGGCAACCTAGGAATGCAATGCTAGTGCGATTTTCCTCCTCCTTTTGGGGTGTTCTCCTTACATTTTACAATTGTTCATTTCTACAATTCTATGTGGCCATACCGCATACGATTATTTTCTGGATATCGAATTTCCTGTGATCCATGTTCAAGTTAGTTTTCGGTTACAGGAGAAGTCATCGGACGTATAAGTTCTACTGGTTGCACGTGCCGCTATCGAACTTGGCGTGCATCATGCTGGAACAGTTTTTCTACTTGATGTGCATCTCGCTGTACATGCGCCTCGGTAAACTTCACCAGCAGATCAAAGGTCTGCTGGACAAAGCCGAACGTCCGCGGTGGAAATGCTGGATGACCACCAAAGCCGGCGGACCCACGCGCCTTGGCATACCCGCGTTCAGCGCATCCGACATCCAAGACCTCCGGTCCGTTCACCGGGCCTGCATGGACATGTTCAAGCGGGTCAATCGCGTTTTTCAGCTTCCGGTTTTGCTGTGTCTGGTCGACAGCGGTTTCCGGATAGTGGTCTTCCTGTACAGCATTGCATTCGACGTGACCATTGTGGTCTGGGGCAAAAAGGACAATATCGATTATGAGACCATAGCGGTATACGTGGGCTACATCTTGACTAGGATATTCCGGGTGTTGTACTTGCACGTCTGCGAATACTACGTAACGAAAGAGGTAGATGACTTCAAGGAGTCGTTGAATATAAATTATAATGTTTATCTAGAAATAAAAATAAATTCCGTTTTCTTCGAGAAGAAACATATGAATCATGAACGTGTTTTACGGCAATCTCGCCCACTCCTAATGTTAGCTGAACATTTCATAAGAGAACTGATAAGAAGGGGTTAGTAGGCACATCTGGGACAGATTTTGATCATACTGAAATTTGTTACAAACATTTTGAACAGACAATGGTCAAAAACATTTTGGTGACAACAACCCAATTTGTTATAAAAAACTAGTTATTTTTTGTAAATCCAGAGTGAGAGAGGCACACAGTGGGGACGGAACATATTGCTAGTAGGGAGATCACGTGTTTTGGAGAATTCTTACAATTGAAAGTGATTAAACCATTTGAAACAAACGTATAGATGCAAAACTATAGATGATAAAAGTTTTAATACACCATAAATGTGTTTGTTGAACACAGATATTCAATATTGCTATTGTTTAATTTTGACAGTAATCTACTGAACGTGAGAACACAAGATCTAAAAAAGCGAAATAAAGAAAAAAATTTAACCGTTTTTGGGAGAAAGGTTTTTTGATATTTTTTCGATTTGTCAACATATATCGACGGTACTGTGTCTAAAGAATATTCCATACAAATTTAAACTAATTGGACTATTTTTAAGAAGTTAGAAGGCCGTAGCTTTGAATTGGAAAATATGTAAATTTGTTGGGTGTTTTTGTCAGTTTTTAAGGGGAAGAGGTGAACTTTTTTAAAATGGTTGGCTCATTAAAGTATCTTTAAGGTATTCTATCAAATTGCTACACGAAGAATTCGGCTTAGAAGATATCGTGGATTTATATACAAAATAAAAACACATCATTGTGATAAACAATACCTTCTCAGCTACGCGTCGAAGCCAAAACCATTAGCTTAACCGTTGACGACGTTTATAAGCTTGAAGACCGTAATTTTGTTTTTATTTTGCAGATATCACCGATTAGTTTATCTCTGAGTAACCTGACCTTACTGTTGAATCCGATTGCTCGCCGAAGATTAATGCCCGAGGTAACAATAATGTTATAAAAATATTATTCTACAGACAAATTATACGGTTGGGTAAAAGAACAGTAAAAAAAGTACACTTCATATTTTTTAAATTGTATAGCTATTAATTTTTTTTTTGATATTTCCAGATCGTTCTGTTCCAAGCTCAGCTCAAATCAATAAAATCGCGATTCAATATATTCAATTTGGTGAACGTGAACATAGCGTTATTATATGCCGTATGTATTTTTTTTCAAAATATTTCCTCACTTATTAACGTCCAATCTACAATATACATTATAATATATCGCACCCCTAGAATACAAACGGCATAACTGAAAAAATATAATTCTTGAGAAAATGGAATTAAAAGTTTTAGGAGCTAATGCACTTGAATGACACCTGAAAAGGCACTTATAACTAGTGGTGAAAAAAAGATGGTAGGAAGAAACTGAATAGTGCAAGGGGTAGATAACACCAGTAGCGGAGTCAACTCAAAATTTACATTTTTTGACTTAAGCCGTTTATATGTTCTAGGGGTACGATATGCCTATATATATATATATATTTGTTTGTAAACAATATACAGGAATCGGGAACCGTTATAGCTTATACGGCGTTCATGCTGCAATTTTTCGCCCTCGAACCGGTTCTTAATCAGAAAAATTCAACAATTACTTAATGATGATTTTTTATAAATCCAAACGAACAATACAATAAAAATACGCCCGTTGAATTTACTATATTATTATAATACTGTTGATTAACATTATATAGGTATTATAATATACCTGGTATATATTATGTTTTTTTAACCACCTGTTTATCCAACTGTTAGAGGCTCACTTGTCGGACAACAATTTTCCACTGTATAGAATTTTTTAATATAAGTTAATGTTCTACAAAATTACGAAGGACTCTTCGAGGATCTATCGAAAAAGTATAAATAAGATAAATATTCGATAGTTTCATTTATCCGCGAAGAGGAAATTAAGTCTAATATAAAATAATATTAGTTTTGATCGGATTTAAGTAATAACATAAGTATAATTATAATTAAACCTGTCGATTATAAGTTGATTGTAATTTTTTTTTTTTTATTAGTTTTACTTTCATTTAAATATTATTATATATTGTTTGAAACGCTTTTGCTTTTTGTTTTGCCGTATTTTTCATATTTTATTTAGGTAAAGGATTAATTCGGCCATCTGCGAGTGTCTAAAATAAAAATATGAAATAAGTACCTATAAAGTTGAAGTAAAAACACAATATTAAATATTTCTCCAATCCAAAAAAAAGTACATATTTTCAGATGTTTACTTTGTGTTTACCAAAAAACAGTTTTTTGTGTCTGTTTGACATTTTGGATTTTTTACTTAATCTTTTTAATCTAGTGTCTCCAGATACAAAACAATCACATCGAGTAACAGCTATTATAACACATCATATTTGTTGGTTCCAGGCGATCTAGTTCGTTACCAGCATTACTTGTGTGTAATGTGTTAGCAGTTCTGTTTTGCCTAGTCCTTGTACCATTGGTTGTTTATTTCATAATTTATTATAATTTATATTATTCCATATGGGTGCCCCGTGAGACTATTATTAATAATTTCCTGTTTGAAAAAAAAGCAATGTATATGTTGGCTTCTTTGTTTTAATATTTTCAACGCAAACAATTACTGATTTTTTACAATATTATAATTAGGTAACATTAAGTTTTATACTCTAATTATTATGATGATACATACTAAATAAAAAGCACATAAGTAAAACGTTATTGAAATTTTTGAAAGTGCTTACGATTTAAATAAAATATTTGTGTTATTTAAAAAATAATTATTTTATTTTAGAAATTATTGTACAATCTTTAAATGGTTTTTTTCTTCTATAAGTACAAAAGTTGTACACATTTTTCCTAATAAAATTATGGTTGCTACAGCTTTTTTTAAGAATAGTTGAACTAGTTCCGAACTTGAGTGAGAAAGTTGTCACAGAGAAAGCATGTTTACCGCCAACATAGCTTTTACTCGTAGAAAAAATCGTACGCGTTAAAAACAAGTCCTGAAACTTTTATAAAATTAACCTGAAAATAAATTGATATGGTCTAAATTTATTAAAGCTAATTTTTTCATTGTTTACATAAGGACGAAGCCCGCCAAAAATTGGACAAATCACTTGTGAACGAATCATCAGGTAGCCGAATATAATTTTTATTATAATATTGTCGATTACAATATTACATGGATAACAAGGGCATGTTAATTCAACCCCAATCGTATGTACCCCTAATGGTGAAAATACAATATTTCTTTTACAACGATTTCAACGGGCATTCAAAATTTATACCGTCTTGTGATCATTTTTTTGACCTCCTCGACCACACTCGGTTTTTTTTATACAATTATATCATATTATGTATATTCGATATAGTTATGGTGGTGATCGTTTTGGAGTCTCGGCGCCTTAACATCATCATGCTGTATAATATTAATATGTGTGTTATTCTTTTGACCGGCTCAGAATTATGGCCGTTGTAGAAGTATTCGCCAGTCGCCTTGACAACCCTTCGAGCTCGTATCCAAAACATTGGCCAATTCGCCGGGAGGTGAGAGTTGGAGAGGAGAGAGAGTTGTTTTAACATACATTATATTATAACAGGTATACACACATGTTAACTTAGTGTGCATGACGTTACCCGAGTCGCTTTCTAACAGCTAAAAAACGGGGTTCTCGGACGACGTGTCGTTGTATAAAATATAATAATAACAACAACAACAATAATAATAATAACGTGCACTCGCTTGGCAACATCGGACCGGTCTTTTATTGGTCTGTAACAGGTGCGCCGCCGCCGCCACCGCCTCGGGTCGTCGGGATGCGAACAGGTACGACCGGGCAACACAATATCAGGATCAGACGATACAATATAATATCATTATAGTACATATATAATACAATAGCGTCGTACAAGAGGAGGGGAAAAGCGAAACAGAAAAAAGTAACAACCGAGGTGAGTCATCCTGTGTACCTACCTATACCTAAGCCCGGCCATCGGCGGCGGCGGCGGCGGCGGTAGGTGGGGGAGCAAGCAGGTAGAACGCGCGAAACGCATTCCTCGACACACACATAATATACAAGTACACACGCCGGAGCCGAGTGGACGTACCTACGATGGTAATAGTGCAACCGCGGTTAACCGTCGCCGGGATACGGCCACCGACCAGTAGTAAGGTGAGTGAATAATAAATTGCTCGTTTAGAAAAAAAACCACACACAATTTAACACAATATCGCCCGCGAAAACCGTCCGAACGTCACGTACTGAATTTTATTGAAAAAACAAAAAAAAAAATGATTACGTGCCCGCCGACTTATTTATTGTAATATTGTTTTTGCGTTAACTGCGACTGTTTTCATTAGTAACGATACCGGAGGACTCTACAAATCCGGCCATTCGTCCTGCAGCCATGCAGGTGGGCGGCCTGACTCTGCGGAAACAGTGCGGCGAGCGGACGTGTCCCGAATACTACGTGTGCTCCGACCACGACTTCCAGTGCTATCCGTGCCTGTCTTATTGCAACGACACGTCGCACAACTACGACGCCAAGATATGCGAGCTGCAGTGCCAAGGTAAGTCCGCAGCAGGCGTCTTGCATTAGCCGTTATTCCGCCTAAGTTCGGGTCGGGTCGGGTCTTGCGAAAAACAATCCCATGACTTTGAGTTTTGTGTTGTGCAAGTTCAAGAAAGCCAAACCCAACCCAATCCAACCGGACACGTACCTAACCTATCATAGACCAAAGTTATTTCCGTGAAAAAATGACGACAATTATGTCGGAAAAGGGGTTAACTCTGTTGCTGCTGACAACGCAAGTCTCCAGCTATACTTTAAACGTCGTCTTGGTGTAAGAAGGTCTGTGATTTGTGTGTATCATCAACAGCGATTACTTGTTTCTCAAATGACCGATTCGATTGGCCAACACATAAATCATTGTCCTATTAATAGCGTATAGCAGATCCATCTCTTTCTGGTTATGTTGGATAGGTTATCCTCGTCCGGACGTTCTTGAGTAAACACAAGACGACAAAATGGCCGACGCGCTGACAGGTGAACGGCAAAATACTAACTCGTCAGTTTCGGCCATCTACCTACTCGTGGTTGACCTTTAATAAAACCGTTTTATTTTATTTATATTTGGGCCAGCGGTTTTCCAGTGCGTTTTTTTTAACGACAACATTCGTGTCCCAGTTGTATAAATAGCGCCGTATAACAGTCAACAAGACATACTACTCAGCAGAGAAAAGCCACGCCGGCCCTAACGCGAAGACGACACCGTTTAAGTCCTAGATAATTGTCTGGCTTGGTCCTAAATTTTTGGAATACCCCGTTTGGAGTTTTAACGTCACACAAATGTCGCCTTTGCTGCTATATGGTGTTATCGTTGTATATATTTGGTTTGTCACTTTTGTGCACATCGTCCGGCGGCGGCGGCGCCCAATTCGGCGTGGTCCACCCAGGTTCTTTGTTTGGCAGCCGATATTATAGCAGCAGAATGTCCTTGGAATTCGCATTGGCCGACACGCCATATTGTACGCAATAAAAACGGAGGACTGTATTCTTTCGGCAGTTGTCTCAAAACGGGTTTAGAAAAAATATATTAAAAAAAAAAATCGACTATTGATTCTCCAACGAGAACGGTATGCAGTATGCCTTTGCCGTTAACCTCCCGGTCGAATGTCTGAGCGTCGGTTAGAAAATGTATTATGTAATTACCGTGTCATTATGGTCATGGATTTTTGAAAAAAAATTTGTTTTGTTCTTGTTTGTTCCTGGTTAGTTCCTGTATACCTACATACACAGCGATTTGGTTTTTAGGTCATACCTTCGAGTGCAGCGGAGGCATTTAATTTAGTATGCACTGTTGTTTAGAAACGCATTGTACACTGTAATCGTTGCCATGCTCTTCCATACGTGCTCCGTGCTTCGATTTTATTTTTTATTTGGGTTATAACGAACGTGATTTGGAATATTTAAAAATACCGTCAACGTGGTGTGTGCCCTTCACGGTTTATGGTCCTCAACGGTCGTAGTAGGGAGTACCCTCTGTGTAACGTGCACTGTTTTAAAAACAATTATATCAACCAACTCCCAAAAGGGGTGGAAACTTTTTAATTATTATTTCCCTTTATAAGGATTAAAGTCCGAAAATTACACCAAAGGTAGATCTAGAGTGGGGCTATAACATATAGTGATTTTTCTAATTTTCGGTTAGAATAATCCCGGAAGACCTATGAGATCTACCGTCCTAATATGATCAGTCCCCTCCACTTTGTCCCATACATTTTTCTGATACCCGTCGATTGTCAATTCACTCTCACATACAAAATGGAAATTTAATACGGTCAAAATGTAATTTTATTCTTTCTTTTTATTTTAGTTTATTCTAATCCCTACGTTCAGTCTAAATTTCAGACCATGTCCCTTGTCCTAAAATTACACATAAAGTTTCTACCCCTCATGGGGCAAAGGGTTAATGATTTTTTTTCTGGAGAGTTTCACTGTACCAAGATAGTATTATATCTAAAGAATATTACATGCAAAATAGGAACTAGTTCAATTATTTTTAAGATATTATGATTTAAATATTATATGTAAAATTTCTTTTGGGATTTTTCTAGATTTTCAAGGGAAATTAGTGGACTTTTTGAATTGAATGGCACAGGGGAAAAACGGTAGTTGTCTGTCACATTATGAACATTTTTTTTCTTCAAATAGTTTTTTCAATTTATGCCAATAATTTTTTTTATTTATGTCAATAGATTGTTTGAGTAAATACATTTATTATTAGAGTAGCATTTAATGTGATTTTTTTTGTTCTTATGTAAGAGGTAGAGGGATTCATGAACTTTGTTTTTGCTGTACTCTAAAATTTTCATTATGTGACACTACCGTTTTTCCCCTGTGCCCTTTAATTATTGTTTTCCTTCAATAAATTAATAAGTTGGTTGTACACACAGTGTGTACGACAGTTATATAAAATAATAATTATACATCGATTGGATAAAACTCCAGTCAGCATTCTGTGGCCATGTCGTGCCGTTGTAGTCAATATGATATGTAATTATAAACGCATAAACATTGTTTTCTAATGAGTAATAATGTATAATGTAACGATATTATTTTGTGGAAACAATATGTTGATAAAAAGAAATTAAGAGCCTTAGCCCTTAAGGTTGTCATTACGAGTAACCCACGAGTGATTTGAACGAGAAATAAAATATCCGCCTATTATTTAATTATTAATACATCTTTGCCTATGTGATTAAGTATCGATGTCGTCGGTGGGTTACATATTATTATTATAGACTGGAGACTTAAATGACACTATATGGCTACATTAATTATTATTATCTTAGTAACGACGTGTCGAAACAATAGGAAAAATCGTATCGCGTTTTATTTTCCTGTATATTGTTACATGTAATCGATCGGTATGAATTAACATAATATTATTTCCACAATAAAGTATAAAAAAAAAATATTAAAATAATAATAGGTATGCAAATAATCTGTTAAAAAAAAAAGTTTTTTTATATTTAATTTTTTTTTTTAGTAGAAGATTTATTGATTATTTTTTATTACCATTAATTTATAGATAAGAGTATACTTGATAATGATAATTTATGAAATTTATTTAAACAATTTTAAAAATATACGAATTCTTGTCTTCTGAAGAAGAGAGGAATTTTCGAGGGTAAATATTGGCGCAACTAGAAGAGTGCTAGGAAAGTTCCAATCTTTCTAAACTCGTTCGGACTTTAAAAAAAAATGTTAGTAACCAATTAGAAACAGTTCCGAAGTAAGGTTTATAATTTTTGCTGAAATTCTTAGGGTACTTTCAATTTTTTAAAAAGTCTGAACTTTCTTAGCTTTCCTCTAGTTGTGCCAATGCGGGTACATCTAATGCGGTTCACAATTTAAAATCAGAAGCGAAACACAAAAAACAAGTTTTAAAAAATGATATTAAGTATTTAGTCAAATAAAAACATATTATCTATAAGGGCAGTTGTAAGGGGTAATTGCCAAGAAGTTAAATCAATCTAAATCGAATGCAATTGAAAATAATGGCTGGTCGATAGTCATCGTTTAATTATTCTGCTTTTGAGATAGGTAAATCCCAATATATATTATATAGGTTGCTATTTAACTATTTACCAACCATCCCTTAATATACATTACCCCTTGAGTTAATTTTTTGAAATTCAATTGTTAAAAATGTAATAAAGATTTTATTTTAACATATTTTTTTTGCTAAAACAAATAATTTTATAGGAAAATTTACTGGTAACATACCATTTTAAACAAGCCTAGTTTTTTTAAATAATATTTATAAAGAAATTACAAATTCTAGTATTATTTCAGTATCAATAATAATCGGTAGTGGTGACGTATAGCAAGTCTTTAAGATACTTTAATACCCTGTACTACCCAGTTTAGCGAGCCTATATACTCTAGATATAGGGCTGTAGGCTGTAGGGGGTTGTGAGGTAAGGAGGGAAGGGGTGCCCTCTTTTCCCTTTATTTCTTTTTTTTTTAGGGCTCCCCCCTTTCGACCTAACATGGTCGATTATTGTAATTATCATACCATTTTCCAACCTTTGGCGTGCCTTGTTGCCGGGCAACTCCTGTGGAATTCGACCAAACAAACCCAGACATTTTTTTTTAGCTTCTATTAGGTTTTTTGTTTTGTTTCGTTTTGTTCCAACGCAAATCGACGTCGGTCTAAGGGTGTTTGAGTGCCCTATCAACTATTCATTTTTTCGCCTAGTTTACATGTTATTGGTTTATTATTGTGATATATACTTCTCGCTGCTGACTAAGGCCGAAATCGGACACCGGCTATGATGTTACTAGGAATGTCGCGTGCGCCCATCTGATTAAAAAATAAAATTGTATAATTACAATAACAAAAAATAAAACCCGACGACAAACGAAATCAAAACCGTCGTACAGTCGTCTCGGCGTGACCCGCCTGAACAGAACCCATACAGTACTTAAGCCTAATCACTCAAAATGGCGTTTTTTTTTTTGAAATTTAATTAATTGTTTTTTTTTTGTTTTGTCATTGCCGCAGATTACATTCACGACTACGTGCGCCATTATGTCAAGGAAAGAGACGTTCAAGGTAAGCCAGTCGGTTTGCAATTAATTATACATGCACCTAATAAAAACTATAATAATACTTGCAATATTTCGACGTTAGTTTTGAGACGAGGCGTTTAAATGACTATTGCAAATAGATTTTTCCAAGTAGAACAACAACAGCCTCGTTTAGAGGTTTTTGATCCCGGCAGAATTTTTTATATATAATTTTTTTTTTGTCCATTTCCCACAGAGGCCCTGCGAGAGCTGGAGAGCCTCAAGAATCTAATCATATTCATGACGGTGATGGTGGCCATCGCCCTGGTGTTCATATCGGTCACGCTGGCGTTCATATGGAGCCGGGAAAAGAGAATTAGGAAAATCAAAAACGGCGGTCAAGATTCGTTTTTCAAAAAAAAATTAGCCTCTCTACAGGTAAATATAGCCAAGCGCTATAGCTTGTTGCATATAGTGATGAAATTATGGTTTTTTTTTTGGACCACATGTAGGAATAACCCACCCGTGGACCCAATTTTCTGTTTTTCTACGCGTGCTTGTGCTCATGACGAGCAGTTAGTTTCAAATTAAGTACCTACTATTTACATATTTAGAGATATAATGTCAAAAAAAAAAAAATGGTAAACACTAGTCTTTTAAACTTAAGTCTAATAATTGGCAGACCCAAAGTCAGAATACTAGGTAAAAAAAAAAAGAGAAAATTTCTTTTGTAGAAAATCACATATTTTATTTTATTAGTTTATTTATCCGAGATATAAAAATACAAAAAATACCAATTTTATGCGAATTCCTTAGCGGTATTTCTCAAGTTTTGAAAAACAATTTTCTCTATGGGTTTTTCACTAGGTACAATGTTTTAACAATTACTATGTTTTCACGTTTTTAAAGGCCAAAGTCCTAATAACGGTTATATTTTAATATTGTACCTACAGCTAGTTGGATTCATTTTCTGAAATTTGTGAACGTGCTGTATGTTAAAGTCGGAATAAGATCTTAACAACCATTGTAACGATCAACATCGCTTTAACAGTGATTTAGGCGTGTACCCGTGACATTTCTTAGGACTACCATATTATCTGGTTGTGTAAGATCATCAAGTCAGACACACCAAGTGTTATTGACATTGTTCCATAAGGTGTGACAGTGCCCGTTATTTGGTTTTTGAATACTCTATTTTTTCCTTTCATTATCTTTATTTTTTTTTTTTTAACACCTTCGTGACCAGTAAACATGGGCAGGGTTTCTTGGTAATATTATTATATCTATCCACGATGCGGTGTATCGTTTTCCAACAGACAGGTGGTGTACAGTGCCATAATAAAGGCGGGCAACATACCAAACAAATTGTGTGGACCTAACAACTAACAAGACAGTGTAGGAATTAACTAAAACTGTTCAGAATAAATCGCCTTAAAGACAACGATATACTTTAAATAGTATGTTCTTCCCATAGCTGTTGACAATATTGATACATTCACAATCTTGAAATTTAATACTGTGTTTCCATATTTTTGTTTTTATAGGGCAGGGGTTCCTTAATAGAAATTAATTATTCAACAAAAAAAAAAAAAAAATTGTATGTTATGTTAAAGTACCCCCCCCCCCTCATATTAATAGATATCTACAAAATTACACTGAATAGAGTCCTAAAAATACATCTCAGTAAGTGACATAAAGCAAAAATGGGAATGAGCAGATGCGAAAATAGAAAAAAAAATTAAAAACATCATAATAAAACCGAAACCTTCTCGGCTCTCTCTGCATCAAAGCCAAAATACAATTTGAAATTATTGCGTTTTAACGACTATACCTTGCAAGAACTCATTTAAAAAACAAAAATTAATTATTATTCGCGTACACACGTTTAGCGATAAGTTGTATGAAAAAAAAAAATATATATATATATAAATACTTATGACGGTATCTCGAAGGTCGAATGAATGTATAGAAAATTTACATTACTACTCGGTAAATACAATAGGTACTAAGAAACAATAATATTTAGGTATTATTGACGTTTTATTTTTGGCAATATTCGTCACTGTAAAAATATGTTTGAGATTAATTATTCAAACTGCGTTAACGGCCGTGGCCAATGAATTTATGTATTTAAAACAAAAATTAGGGAAATAAAAAACCCGGTCTCTGTTGATTTTTTCAAAACGCATTGCGTAAAACAATGTAAGGTGACACTATATTTTAGAACACAAATTGTTATTTACATTTTGCAATTGAATTAATTAACGGGTATGTTGGACGTTTTTTTAAAAATTATTATTTTTTAATTTTTGTGTCTACCTACTGGGGAATTTAAATATAATTTTGTAGGTACTTAAAATATTTAAATACTGACCATTTTACACAATAACTCGACAGAGATATATTTTCTATTTTGAGTACACATAAATGTGTCTGGTTTTTTTTTTTTTTGTTTCACTTTTCCAGGCAACGGACACAAACCCTTGCCAACGATTTTGATTGCTTTTGTTTTATATTGTTTACATACGTATATTGTCCGCAGTACCTGAAAAAGAGAGACAAAGTGGCCACCGTCAGCGAGTCGGTCAGCGCCAAGATGCACCAGTCGACGGCGTCGTTGGCCAGCGCCGTCACGCAAACGGACATCGTGACGCCGGCGTCTTCGGCCGGCAGCGGCCACCGGACCAACACGTCGTCTGCGTCGTCCGGCGGCGGCGGCGGCAGTGGCTCGTCCAACAAATTGCCGTGCGAGGACGCCACACTTCTGGAATTCGCCGGCTACGACAACTTCGCCTTGAAGTCGTCGCCGGTGCTCGGCAAACCGGCCGAATTGCAATTCACACCGTGAGCGGACGGCGCGTACCAGAGTTGGCCGAGACTCTCGTCGACTCTGTTCAAATATTATTGTTTACAAATTTTTTTTTTTTTTTTACAAAAATACTTTTTCTTGCTCATCACAAAATATTGACTGTAGATCTACATTATTATTACTACTATAGTTTAGATTGTTTTTAATTGTTATTGCTGTGTAATAGTTGAATGTATAGATATCATGAAATATTTTTTAATTTCATTTAAAAAAATATATATATTTTCGTTTACATCACATTTTAACGTTACTTTTTACATACGTACGATTTTTAATGATTATTATTGCAATTATATACCACATCGTTTACAGTATTATTATTACATTTATTATATAGTCTATATTATTATGTGTTTTATAATAATTATCCTGCGGCGGCGTAACGCGCAGTACTTAATAGTCGTGCCTATATTATGTTATGTTTTTTTTCATTTTCGCCGACCATTTGTCGGAGGCACTTTGTAGGAATATTTTCTTAAAGTATTCGCTGTTTAGTAATTAGTAAGTATTATAGTGTTTAGATTTAGAATAAATGCCGCTGTGCGAAGGATGAAACAAACCTTTGTCAGTAAACCCCGTCCAATAACTTTAAACGTTTTGATTGTACTTTTATATACAGAAAGTACAATCTTGACAATTTTAATTATTTATTTAGCGATAGTGTAAATATATTTTTTTGTATATAATAAATATTATTAAGCGTGCATATTGTGTAGCCTATCTTTGCAATTTAAGGTGAAAATAGACATATAGCACTAATAATTTAGGCAATGATTTAAGTATTATTAAAATAATAGTATTTGTTTTTTTAGCGCGTCCGTCGAGTATTATTATTTAATTTTTATATACTACACGAAAAATAAGACAATCATATTGCAATTACGATAATTATTATTATAATGTATTTTGATTATATTATTATCGATGTCCGCGTTCGGATTGTGATGTTCCAACAAACGTCAAATGATGTGCAATTTATTAAGTTATATTAAAATATTGTCCTAATTGTTGTTGTAGCACATAATAATTATTTGTATGTTAATATGTAAGAAGTAATATTGTTTTGTTTGACAACATTACTATTTAAACGTGTATCAAAAGCAATAATAGTAATAATTTATTCACTATACTAAAGAAGATACAAGAACTTATAATATTGATTACTAGAACTATAATTAGTTCCCTAGTAATGTATGTTTTTTTTATTTACATCTAATGAACAATCAGTATTAATAATATTATTAACGGACAATCTGTTATTTTTAAAATAATATTTTATAAGAACAATGACCTATTTGTGAAATAAAAATACCTTTTTTAATATATTTAAATTTATGCATTTTGTTTGTCTATCTACATCATTGGTATCAAGAATGTAATATGTAAAACATAGTAATTGGTAATAAATTATGATACAACGATGGTAGATATAAAAAAATAAATACTACTCAAGAAGGAAGGCCGACTGGTAAATAATAATTACATTAATGTTTTAAAAGAGACCATTTTTAAATCTAATGACGTCTATTTGAATTTGGTAACAAAAATCTCCAAACAATAATTATGTTAAGTATTTCTGTTTAAACTTTGAATCACAAAACTTTGGATAGGTTGATGACTGTTTGGCATGTAACAAATTATTTTTTTTTAAAAACAACACATAATAATAAACAAATTTGTTTAAAATAATATTCATAAGTCAATAGTCAGTAAAAATATAACAATTGTCGATAATTTATTGTATAAAAAACATTTTTTGCCTATTTTGTAGGTTTTTTTAGAATTATAAAGATTAGTTTGACGGAATAGGCGTGTTGCAGTTGCCGTGATATAAATTTATTTTGCCGTCACACTTTGCAAACGAATCAAACGTCTCGGCGTATCCGTGATGTTTCCACCAAGTGCAGAGCTGACGATTCCATCCACACTCCAATTGATAGATCATTTCGGGGTATTCAAAACTCACCAAAGTGTACCAGTCTTGGTCTCCCAAATGACCCTAAACAATGTTTTATACAAATTCAATAAAACAAATGAAATAACTATTATCGCCTTCACTCACTTTAAACAAATACTTTTGAACAACGGTGGAGATCCATTGCGGACTGATGAGCCGATCGTACAGGACACTGTTGTTGTTACGCATTCGCTCCAAGTTTAACAACACTACACCGCTGTTCAAACCCTGCATGTTGCCGCGCTCTGCTTTCGGTTTGCGCTTTTCGCCTTGAAAATAGCGCCATTTCCATAGGATATGATGGTAGACCGGAGACAGTTCTGGGGCCAAGCCGAATATTTCCGTATCAGTAAAGCTACAACAAAGAATGTCGGACATTCGGATACCATTATTTTGGTCAAAGTATCAGTTACTTGTCGAATATGTTGTGAAGATCGCAAACACTCGAGTGAAACTCGGTGTCGACGTCCAGCACAACAGCTTTGTCCACAGTATCAGGAGCGACAAGATGGAGTGCGGGCGACAAGTAGAACACATCATCGCTGTAATAAGACCCCTTCGATGACTGGAAAAATCGTTTCAATGGCTCGATTTTGGCGTGTACGGTTTTCAGGACATCTTGGAAATCGTGGTGAATCACCTGGATTATAAAAAAAAATCCATGAAAAAAAGTAACTGACGATAGATAAGATTTAACATTCATACCTGGAGGCGAGTTTCCTCATACTGTTTCAAATATTCTGAAATCACATTGTCCAATGTTGGCCGACTCTCATTGTCAGTTATCAGGTTCAATTCGAACGTGGAATGACACGTTCCGCGTCGGCCGATCAGGGACTTGAAAAACTTCCGAAACTTAGCTAATAAATATCCGTGCGAGATTTTCGTAACAGTCACCCAAATGCTAACTTTTGTTTCTGGTTTGTTGGCTACACGATATGAGGTTTGCACTTTCAATTGAACATCAATGGGAACTTTCGGATTAAAATACACAATGACAACAACAGTAAACAATGCAATGGCTATGACAAACTTGGCATAAGACCGCATTAAAACCACCATGGACGCATTTCAATCATTTAAGTTAAACAAAACGCGATGTACCTATTTAATTTAAACAACTTTTGAACGTTGACAAAATTTATCATAGTAATTTATTCCACTGTTCCACACATCTAATACCTACTACTAATAATAAAAAAATTGAGGTTTTCGTTGGCGGAAAGGAGTAAAAACTGAGAAAATAGAAACCAATAGACAACAACTGCTAAATACTATGTAACTTACAAAGTTTATCACTTCAATATTTTAATAACTAATAAGATTGATTAAAACATTTTAATATAAAAATTTCGTTATCGGGTATTATCATATTACTATTTCTCCGTGATATTATTTTTTCCATGACAAACCTAACAACTCTCTCTGTCTCTTTTTAACGATGTCGATATTCGGACCTCTCTCTACTCTATCAGTCCATTTCTTTACAGGTCTATGATGGAAACGTTGACCATTACCACGATAACGTGGAGGTAAAACGAGTAAACAACACGACGCTCGACGAAAAAACAAATAACAATACTATTATGGTGAACTGTGAAGTCTCACATCGAGTCAATAATTGTAGTTTCTCGGCACCGTGAGAAATTGTCTATACGACGAATCTACCTAACCCGACGGTGTAAGACATTATGGAAACAAAAATTCCCGTACAAATCCCATACGGCCATCCTACGAAAGTTAAGATCCACTTCTGTTGGGTTTGCAAGAAAGTGTTCAAGACCAACATAATGGTCGCTGCTCACATGAAAAACCATTTGGCCGAGGAACCATATCAATGTCGCCTCTGCTTCAAAGAGTTTATCTTCCCAACAAAACTGAAAATTCATGAAGGAAATCACTTGATCAACAAGTGCGATGATTGCCCTATGCAATTCGATAATGTACTCGGCCTGCTCTTACATCGGATGACTAGGCACACACCCGAAAGGCCTTACGAGTGCGATATGTGCGAATTAGCGTTCAAGAGGAAAGCCAGTTTAGCTAATCACCAGAGAATCATTCATACTGACACCGACACTGAAGATAGCGAAGATGCATAAGTTTTATTTCTCAGTCGATTTGTAATCGGAGTCGTGCATTAAACTCTTATTTTAAAACAGAATAATAATATAGTAAAACAAATTTATGTTTATTTATTTAAATTTTGTGTTTGTTAAAGTTGTTTGTAAATAAAAAATAAAAATAAATTTACTCTATAACCACACTAGCAAATTATTTGAATAAAATCATGTTACACAGATAATTGTTTCAATAATGTTTTTTTATTCGAATACGAATAATGCACAACTCCAATTATAATATGTTTTTACTGAATACACATTACATTTTTCTTAATTTATAATTATTTAACTTTAAATTGGTCGAGTGGAGTAGAAATTTCCTGTTTGTACACAAATTTGTATGTATTTTATTAATTATTTATCAGTATTTTGTACTTATACCTATTCATAAATTTATCATATAAGAATTTTTTTTTTTGGCAAATTTAATTAAGAAAAATTATTATTTTTAGAACTAGTCGTATTGTATAGTGTTCATTTGTACATTGCCATGCAAGTTTATATTCGCGATGGGATAATTTTGCTTGCACCAACAGTCGAAGGTGAACATTAAAGATTTCTAGTCATATTTAAGGGAGATTTAAATCATAATTGAGTTATAAAACTAAAAACCTAATCAAGTGTTCATAATTTCCAAATAATACAAAAATAATTAATTTACAACTTTAAGTATTATAAAACATGTCACAATTTTATTTTGTAGACTGAATCGCGACTATAAAACATTTGACGCAGCTGTTATTGTTTTACTTTAATCGTTTGTGAGGCTTGATAACTAATATAATACAAATACTTGTAACTTAAAAATAATTTTAGAATTATAACTTTTTTGATTGTGTGTTTAAGCCTTAGAAGGCGTTTGTAATAGTTTGAATTAACTAAATAATAATAACTATAGCTTGTGTGTATAGTATATAATATTATAAAATAAGATTATTATGTATAGTTACATCAGTATTATATTTCAAACACATTATATTAATAAACAAAAATATTATATAAACTATGTATGTGTTTTCGATGAACTTGTTTTTTTTTTTTTAATTTATCAATTGTTTAAAGTTTTGTTTAAAATTTTCACCTAAATCTAAGTTCTTTACGATGTAGTGTTTTTATTTTTTGGAAAGCAAATTTCAATATTTTATAATATATATTTCTTGACCCTAAATAAAAACGCTTTAAAAATACTTCGTAAACGATAATTGAGAGTTTAAATTTCTTTAAAGGTCATAGAACTTTTTTTAAATATTACAAATTATTTTGCAACAGGCAAACCGCAATACAACATATCGTCGCTCTAAATCTCAAAGGTTGTATGTCCAAACTTCTTAATTTTTCAAGATACGAAAATAACGATTAGTTAGAAAAGATTAATTTTATTTCCCTTAATTGAAATGATATTTTTTAAGTAATGTTCAGTACATTGTTTTCAACTTCAATAGTTACAACGTTATTACGATACAATTTTTATAATTTCAAATATTGTAGGCACAGTTTTCTTTATCGAGAAAAATCAAACAACATAGTTAATAGTAATTAACATGTAATGTTTAAAAAATCATTTATATATTTAATAGTAAAAACACCTCTAATTATTTTCAAGAATATAAATTATCACTTATCACTTAACATACATGTTGGTGGTTATGAATTTACAATTCTACGTAAAATTATTTATTTAAAATATTATTACCTATCGTACAATTAAAATATGGTTGATTTCTTTAATTGTCAAAACTAAAACTTGAAGTGTAAAAATTCAGTTCCTTGGTGTAAAAAATTTCAGATCCGTAAATGATTATTTACATGTGGCGAATCCGATCCTGTTATTTCCTAAATCAAACTCGGTGTAATAACGTCCTATGAAAACATCGCCCAATATCCATAACGGACCATTTGGAGGAGGTATATCGATACCCATGAATCCAGACAAACATATAGTCTTTCCGAATTGAGATACCTTAAACACATAAAATGTATTTAAGTGAGCAAGACGAGCAAGTGAGCTCTGCATGAAAGCTATAAAAATATATTCAATTTGAAAAAAAAATGTATGAGTTGATACCTTGAGCACGTAGTCTCTGCCCGTTAAACTAAAATTACTAGACCCAATTGTGAAAGTTATAATCGGCAAGTTGTCGATTTGATCGCAAGCAACCTGTAAAAAATTCAATATGGTACACATTAAAAAAAAACTTATTTTACAAAATTTTAATTTATAATTGGTGTCTTAGACGACATCACTGAATAAAATTAACTGAACTAACAATGTATTCTCCGCCAGGGATGGCGGTACCGCCGATGAGGGTATTGATCTGCTTGATATTGTTAACCGGTCCAGCGATAAGACTAGTGCCTGTATCAGCTATGGCTTTTAGCGATCCGCTATCGATTGTTGTATTAGCAACACTTATTCTACAAAAAAAAAAAAAAAAAAATGTAGTTTCAACAATGTTTATTTTAATTCGTAGAAGATATTCCTATCGCATGTTTACCCGTCGAGTTCAAATTGCCAGTATCCGTGTCTGGTGACATCAACATACGTAAAATCTCCAGAATATTTCTCCGGATCAGAACCGCCGAAAATGATTTCACCACCAGGGTTGCTACTTGGGTCTCTAGACGACAAAACATAAATTATTAAACAACAATAATAATAATTGTTATAAAAATAATAACTGTAATACATTCAAGGCTGTTGGTATAATGTTGCGTTAAGACATTTCTGTGCAAAGATTTTTTTACCAAATAAAGCAAGCTAAGGTAAGGTTTATGCTTATCTAAAAAAAAAATTACATAAACATTGTAAACAGTAAACAGAAATTGCCTAAGTTGGGTTTATCATAGGAGAATTACATTTTACCAATCAGGCAAATTCAAGCCTTTGAAATACTTTTAAAAAGTATTTTCTAAGAACACACTGGTTTTTTTTTTTTTTTGTTTTACAATTTAATTGTATACTATTTGGAAGCGTTAAATTAAATGCAGGTTAATAGTACCTGGACAAGTAGAAAGAAAAAACAGGATTTTTAATCAAACCACTCTTGACCATATTATAAAAAGGTGGAACAGCACCATTAACAGAAATGGTATCATATCCAAGGCCTAAAATACCATCAAACTTGGCGGCTACGAAAGCTAATCCTGGTTCTTGAATCGCTTCTGCAAAAGTTTGACTTTTTATTTGAGCGCCATCCATCTAAATAATAGTAAACAATAGTACATAATGCTTGATTAAAAGTTTTATGTTTTTTAGAACTGTACTAACCAAGAGGAAATCAGTAGACATATATCCAGAAAGACTACCCGACCCATAATGAATTTCAAATTTCGTTCCGTTTTTTTGGTAAGTGGATGATTTATCTCCGTCATATTTGTTATGTATCACTAAACATCATAAATTAACATTAATTAATTAAATAATATTACATGCTGTGCGTATCCTAAAGTGCACATTCGCGGTCTCGGTTTGGTCCGATCGCGGTCAGGTCACTATCCGGTCAAAGTTAGTAGTGCGTAATCTAATGGAACAGTTCACACTATTGGTCACAGTCAGATCATGGACCGGTCAGGTCAGGTCTCAATCAATCAACGCCCTAGTCTAGACCAATGGGGGAACCCAAAACCGTCTACTCCATTTCTTATCTCTTATATTTTCTTACTTTTCGTCAAGAATTAATACGATTTTCATCAAAGGTTGTTTTGAAAATGACATCATGACAGGATTCGACAACAGCATCAACAACACCTGGTGGCAACGAGCCGACTGTCTAGATTTGATTGTTTGTGACCATAATAAATGTGAATAATACGTCATAATCCTTGACCGGGATCGGACTGAACCGAGATGGCGAATATAAATTGAGCTAAAATTAATTCTATGATGATAGTTGATGATGGTTTGTACTTAATATTTAATCAGATAACCACGCAAAAAAATAAAACTACTATGATAATGAATCATAAACAAATATATGAATTATAAACGAAAGTTTTATAGTATTTTCAATAACAAACAAAGCACTTTTTGACATTTTCATGTCTTAGCTCTGGCACATAACCGAAAATATTATAACGAAAATATTGTAACGCAAATATTGTAACGAAAAATGCTTTACCAAAAAATAAACGGGGATGAAGATGAGGGGGGGGGGGTGGGAATGAAGATGAGGGGGGGTGGGAATGAGGTTAAGGGTGGGGATTAGCTGTGGAAAATAACCGAAAAAAGCATAACGAAAATAACGAAAAAAGTGTTACGCTGTTATCTGATATGAGATAGGGGTGGGATATAGGGGTAGGGGTTAGTGATAGGGGTAAGATATAGGAGATAAGAGATATGTTGTATGTTCAACGTTCAAATTAGAACTAAATAATATATTCAAAACAGTTTAAGGGCCCAATTTCTCTATGAATTGTTTTAAGCCAGATAATAAACACTACAATTTTAGCCAGAAACTTGACGTTTTATTATACTAGCTTGTTACCGCTCGTTAATATACTATATCATTATCTATTACTCCACCACTACTCTAAATTTATTCGGTACTTCAACAAGACATAAAAATGCTTTTTCGTGGTTGCAGACTCGGCTGAAAAACTTTTTTCTATGTTGTCTTGCGCAAGAACAATATGAAGATTATTTATTTTATGTTAAAACTACCCAAAAAATAAAGGTTTAAATGTTTATTACAAAAGAAAAACATACGACATTATGTGTACGGCGCAACATTCAAATCTGGTTCGCTGTGTAAAAAAAAAGATAATACTTACAGCAAGCTATATTCAGTATACTACAATGCTTGGACGGAACCCACAAATTGGATGAGCCGGTGTCGAATACCACATTGAACTGCTGGGGAGGAGTGCCAATTGCGATTGGTCCGTAGTATTGGGCCTAAAAAAATACATGTAAATGGTCAAAATCGTGTTTAAAAACAAATCATTTAACGGTTCTAGGCTCTAGCACATCTGATAGCTTGGGAGACCATCTGCAAGTCATCTTACCCAGGTAAAATGTCATTCGACTAGGTTCAAAATCATTTGACCAGTTTAAAAGAGAATGACCTTCCCCACCAGAAAAAATGGAATAAGTCGCTCGTTTTCAAAAAAGGGTGGCATTATAAAAAAACGTTGTATAATTACATCAAGATAGTTGGACAACGGTTCGGCACCAAAGGATTCTTTGTCGATACCGCCGTAGCGACTGTTTAATTGCGACAGCTGTGTTTTGCGTCCTTTCAATTGGGAGCGTACGGATTCCATTTTATACAGTCCGACTCTGTTGTAAAAACAAAAGACAGCGATGTTGGTTTGACAAAATAACTTAGAATATTATTGAAAAACATACCTGAGAAGTTGGTCATTTTGAGATTTACTCGGGTTTTGGGTAGAAATTGTTAAGGTTTGCGACAAAGTCACAGCCGAAAACAAAAACAAACCAGCCGTTATTAACGAGTTCATTTTTTTTACACAAAACTGGATGTGCACGTAGTATTGAAAGATTGACAATTTTTGTTATTTAATGTTTCCGAATAATATTATTATTAGTTATACGATCAGGCAATGCGACTGAAAAATTACAAGTCATACAACATAATAAAACCGGGATTGGCCGCTGCGACAAATAATCAGCTGCGACAATAACATAAAAAAACAAGTACAAAATAACAAAACGACAATAACTATTAACTACATACAAAATAATATTATATTAGGTATTGCAGTCGTTGTTGTTTGTTCACCGGGTTGACCGGGTACAAGTTACAAAGTCTACAGTGTACAATACAGCTGCAACTGCTGCAGTGCAGACATATTGATAACGATATAATTGATAACAAGGTCGTTACTGGTCATCGCTATTCGCTTACCTATTAGCCACCGTTGTATTTATAATACAATAATATATAGAATGGTGCGGCACTGTTCCAATTAGAGGACGTCCGATGTGAGATGTCGCAATCGCATCAGTTTTTGCGCTCTAGAATTAGTTTGAAAGACATTATAATATTATTTGTTGTTTGACATAATTTTCAGTTGTATAGGTTTAGTATATTTTATAGTTCGAGATAATTTGTTATTTGACGAGGACAAATACACAGCGATGTGGACAATCCCGACATTCCCGACTCCAAAGAACCAACAAAAATTGAAACAAAATTTAAGAGGGAGAGTTCAAAACATAAAAAAGAACAAATCATAATAGGCCGAAACATCAGAACAGGTCAAGAAAAACAATTGTGCGCGATAATTTGTTATTAAAAACATGTTATATACCATCATTTGAAAACGGCTACCTATATCGTATACGATACATACTAATTTTGAGGCTAGCAACACTGTTAGTGCCGCAACTTGAGGATTTGGGGCTGGGGTACAAAACCACAAAAACGGATCCTACTTACAAAGTGCAATTTCTAAAATATACCTAAACATATTTTTATTAATTTTTAAATATTACTTTTTATTGTCTTTTGAACTAAAAATTACATTTATACAGCAAACATAATTTTTAAGAACATTTAGGTAGGTCTTACAAAGGTGTGTACAAAACAAAAAAAACTAGAAAAACCTACGTTATTTTTATTAATTATTTAAAACAAAAAATGTATTACAATCGATTATTAATAAATAATTATTTTACATAATCATGTACATTAAAATATTAAATATTGTTACCTATCCTTCAATATGTATTGTCAATTTCGTAAGGTACCTGTGTAAGTTAGACTTTTTTTTTTATCTGCATGTGCATCTTAGAATAACCGAGAGGGATGTGTAAATTAGACTACTTAGAAATTTAGTTTTTTGTTGTAAAAAAATATTAGAAAAATTTCAGACTTCTAAATTAGTTCATTAGGCATAAATCCAATGTAAATTAAATGTTCCTACCTTTAAGTATTCTTGCTGATTAAAAAAGGTAAAATTTCGTTGTACTAAAAAAAAAATATTTTTTTTAAATGTTCTAATTTTTGACTCTCGACGAAGAATAACATTAAATTACAAAAGCAGCGGTTTATTCATTTTTATGTCGCAAGGTTTTTTTTTAATTGCTTTTTTATCATCACATTTTAATTATTCAAAAGGACGTACCGTTTGCTAATGCGTACATTTCGATTAAACAATAGTAGAAGTACGTTATAAAATATCTAAAAAAAGAGTTATGGTACTCAGCCCCCCCCCCCCCAAACATTGTGTGTATCCCACTATTTACACAGTATAGTGAATAATTTATAGACGAGTAAAAATAAAATAGATATCTAAATAATGAAATGCAATCGTTTAATTTAATTATATTATATATGTATGGATTTAAATGATAGCTGGAAATTGTAGCTTAGTATATTTTATAAACGAGTGTATTATTAACATAAAATGCAATTTAATTCTTAGTGAACTTTTTTTTAATTTTAGTTATAAAGTATGCTTTAAAGTATATGCTGTTCAAGTAATGTCACTCGTCTGTTAAATTTACTGTAAAGCGAAATATAAGTAAAAGGTAAAAAAATAAATTGTTACATTTTTAAAAGCGTGAAACAATTAACCTAATGCTAAAAGTTACTTTCGTTGACACCACAAAACCAATAGGAAAACATATCAGCTTTCCTCAGAGTTAGAACTAGAAGAAATTTATTATATAAGTACATTTAAAAATTAAAAAATTATTAATTTAATTAGATTATGATAAATATGTTTTAAAATTAGCTCTTAAGGCCATTGGGTACCGGCCAATTTTTCCGTCAAAAACTACCCATTTTACTTCAATCAGTCCGATCGTTGTATTGATGCGATAAGACTTCTGAAAATATATATGAATTCAGCATGAAGTCTACTTGAGATCGGTCAGCTTACATTTTTTAATTTTGCCCTCAAAATTCCACAAGTTTGATTTAAATTTTTGAAAAATGTTAAATCTTGTAGTATTGTTTAAAAAATACTAATAAATGAAACTGGAAAAGTGGCTCGACCGATCTCAAGTAGACTTCATGCTGAATTCATGTATATTTTCAGAAGTCTTATCGCATAAATACAACGATCGGACTAATTGAATGAAAACTAGTAGTTTTGCAGCATAAAATTGTACGAATCCTGAACAGTAGCCGTTTTAACCGACTTGTGTGTGTGCGTACGAGTCACCTTCAACAATGATTGGACGGGTGCGAGGACGAGGGGTGTAAGATAACATCACTCACACTAAATATGTTCATTTATTTACTACGCACACAACGACAACGCGTAACAGAGAAAACCCAAAAATTGCCTACCTACAAATCCTTAATTAAGGCCGGTACCCAATCGCCTTAAAACAATTTTAGTATTACAATTTTTTTTAAATTCCTTAAAAAAATATTGTATTTTAATTTACCTTATTCGTTTTATTACTCGAATTCACCATTGTTTTACATTTTTTTTTAACGTGTAAAATATTTTTTTACTGAGACCAGATTGGTAATAAAAAATATATGTTGTTTTCTATAATTAATCCTGGAATTTATCCATCGACCCAATTGGGTTCACAAATCACGATTAATGGACTATTTATTTAAATATAATCGGTAAAATATTATAGAAAGCTTACAAATATTTAAATAAAACAATATTGTCATAAGTTATTGTGTTTTAAGTAGGTACACGGATAAATAGGATTTAAATCTGAAATAATAAATGTGTGATATTAATTTGGAATGTAAATGTTTAATTACATTGCTCTTGTCCTCGTTGAAAGTCTAAAAATTAGTAAACACAGAATGACATTTTTTTGCGCACAAACAGAAATTGAATTAAATATATAAAATAACAAAAGTGTATAGTATTTATTTGTGTTAAAAGTAATTTCAAAAAATTCACCTACTCCTAACCGATCTTGTTTAATCATTAGATTTAAACGTATAACATTATTTTAGGATAACTAAAATTTATAATAATATGTCTTATAAAAGGTTCTCGTTGTTAATCATAATTTAACATTAAAACAAAAATGATTTCTATTATGAATATGTTTTAATGGCTTTTTAGCAAGATCATTGTTTTTCAGTATAATCTGTTCCATTAAAACATTTTTTTAAGATTTGTTTATTTTTAAAGCTTTTATCGATTTGTTTACTCGTTTCTCAACTAGGAGATTCAATAAACGGTGTGAAATATTCAGATTCAGTTAAGATTAGAGGTAAGTTGGTGTCATAAAACATGTTTATGATTAATATGTTTCTCCTTGAAGTATTTTTTAGTTTAGTTTCGTTACTATTTGGCTTGTTTTTATTTCTATTATTATATTTTACTTATTAAATCTGTATTTTTATAATGTGTTTGTCTTATCAGAACAACGTTGTGATCTATGTGTAACTACAGTTTACTGTTTAGCTATAAATACCATACGATATCAAATACAGTTCTTGAACGGTCAATAAATAGGTAATTAAACATAACGTTAACACTAAGTAAACGTCCTTATTTGCATAGAATGACTCGATTTAACGATAAAAGTATATTTATAATTTATGATGCGTTCAAAAAGCATCCGTCTGTCAACCAAACACCGAAAATAAAAAGCCGTACGTCACGATGATGTCTCATAATTTTTAATTTTTTTATAAGCTTTTTAACAAACTGAATGAAATATTATGTATGGAAAATAGATGATATTCCTAATGACGGTGGTCGTGGGACTAAATTCAAATGGGCGGACATTTAAGAGACAAGTGTCAAGGGCAACAAAGAAAATATGTCTAAAGTAAAAAAAAATAATTGTTTAATAACTTTATTCAATGCAAAAGCAAAAACAAGCGTATACGTAATAAGTATATTATGATGATAATAACAGTATTGATTAATTCGGTACTAAAAATTAATACTAAATCTATTATTATTATACTTTTTTTTTTAACAAATTATAAAACGTCATTTTTTTTATAGATACGACGAAGTTTTTCGTGCGGTCAAATGTGTCGAAAACAGTTTTTGAAACTCGTAGACGGTTCGATAACCAGTTTCAGATAATTACTTTTAAAGTTATTAAAGTTTAAAATTAAGAATGTGAGGTAGAGTAAAAGTAATTGTACACACTCCATTCTTCCTTTCGTCCTAAATGTTAAACTAAATAACTTTAAAAGTAATTATTCAAAACCGGTTATCGACAAAAAACATTTTCAGACAATCATTATGTACGTTCTCATTACAAAAGTTGATGACATTCTGCAAAAAAAGTCTAAAAATGGTAAATATTTGATAGTTTATGTAAATCATAGAGTAAGAGTAAGGTAAACAAACATTTAAAAAGTAAAAACTACAAATTTACAATTATTTTCTGAGATATTGGGTGTCGTACGTTAAATGGATCACACATATAAAGATATGCAAGTATAACTTCACTTAATCCAACGGAAATCCATAGGCTCTATAGTCCATGACCTCCATAGTCATTTCAAGTTCATCAACCATGAAAATCCGAGATGGTCTATTTGTCGTGCAATCGTTACACATACACATAGACATTTTATAAGCCGTATAACTAATTTTTTTTTTGGATTCTTTAAACAAAATCACGATCGGTTGTGCGGCGTTTTCTACATATTATTATAAGATTGCCGCGATTCTCATAAACGCTGCCGTACGTCAAACGTGAAGAATGCGTGCATTGTATTATATTTTTTAATAATGCATTTATAATATATTTTTAGTAGCAGCTGTATGTTTGGCCATCCAACGACTGGGACGGCAACGGCATATCCAATGAGTTAGACGGTTCATATTATGATACTTAGGCTCGTTCGTCGGTACGGTCAGGTCAAAGACACTTATATTTTACCTGGTATTTTATTATTTTTTAATATATTATAAACGTGTATGCATTAACTGCACCAATTTACTAATAACAAAAAAATAAAAAAACTTAAGTACAAAACGACACACAACTGAATAGAGTTGAGTAAATAAGTAAATAAAACGTGTAAACCATGTCAATCGAACTAACTAGTCGAATGGATTACACTTCCGTAACAGATTTCGTGACGTCAAAATGTCAACGCGAATTTTGGATTGACCCCCAAGCCAATAACTTGACAATGTTAAAAATAAAAATACATCAAAGCTAAACCCGATTAATAGGACGTAATAAAAATATTAAGTACGTAATTTCCTTTATTTTCAAGGGAGGCGGCGCCTCCCTTGCCTCTCCGGAAAAACCGTCACTGATAATTACACAGTTTAATCTTAAATTACGATTCAAAACAAAATGTCCTGTGCCTAACTCCTTAATAAATAAAGGTTATGACGTCCTCTTAAGTTACGACTCGAAGACACAACCAATAAATATGAAAAACTGAAAATTCTTTCCGCGTTTTTTAAATAACACTTTACTCGAGTTTATTACCGGAAAATAAAATAATTAGCTGGACTACTTACGTCTTCTTCGTCCGTATATTATTTCAGCACTTTGTAGTAAAAGTTCTTCCTCGCGCGATAACGTTGTTGACTCAGCATTCAGTATTGTGAGTAATCTTATTTTACCATTTGCCAGCCGCGATAGATTGTCATAGTTCAATTATTATTAAACGGATGGTAAGTCTTTGACCATTCATTCTACGACACTAAGCAATTTCGTTATAATATAAAAATATTAAAAATAATATATATTTTTTTACACTCGATGTGTGACGAATCTGTTGAATAGCCGTGCCCACGGTGTATGCCATTTAGCCATTTGTATCGCTTCAAGTTTATAAAATCGCTGTACAACGTAGTCGTCAAAACAATATTGTCCGTTGACCTTAAAATAGCTTAAGTTTAATCCCAAATGCATTTCTTTGTCCTGTCACACATGACGGAAAAGAGCTTTCGTATTTCCAACAAATAGATATTACAATGGTTTATCCTAGTCCAAACATTTAATAAGTGACGGTAGCTTAAACTAGTTCTTTGGGAGGAAAAAATTAATTCTGCGATGGTTCTACGTAAGCGTTAATTAATCAATAATGTTTAAGGTCCAGAAGTTAAACTTGGAAATATGATATAGAAGAACGATCTTAAAATCTAATGAACCTGGGTAACTGTCATTGCTCCCTCCCCACCACCGATGAAATTGCGTTCTAACATGAAATGAAACACTTTGCAAGGCGGTTTCGGCATGTAGACTTTTTGAATATATCTTTTATTATTAAGCAATTAATTCAAAAAGTTTGAACAGTTAGAGAGGACATGTGTTTTTATGATTTACAACAAGCTCTGTAGTCAATAAACTATATCAGATAAAGTTCTCAAACTCTTCACTGCACTTCTACGTGCCAAGGAGATTCTAATAAGACCCTAAATAACAAAATTTGTTCATCGATTTCAGACATCTGAGTAGTAAAGAAAAATTTAACTAAAATTGACAATTCTCTGAATTGTAAAAAACTAGTTTTCGGCGTTATCATCGAAATGGTTTTTTTTTACTGGACAACTAACAAGTTCAGTTACAAATACAAACCAAATCAAAAACATATTGAATAGAGTTTATTAAACACGTTAACTACTGCGCCATACAATTCTCACCAACTTTTGTATGTGGGAATCTAATCTTTAATCTTTAAGCCCTTTAAGATACCAAATTATTGTTTAATACGCCATATAGCTGGATACATAACTGGGTTATATCCTTTTAATTTGGTCTAATACATTCAGATTAAATTTGGGGATTAACTTGCGTCATGATACAGTTAGAAACGGTTTTTAACAACTTTATATATCTTATATTATAATATGCAATATTGATAAAAAAATTCAACCATAATAATTTAGTTTAGAAGCTAATAAACAAATAAAAATAATGTTATTTCAATTTAAGGGATATTGAAATATTACAAAACGCTTGATTGTATTCATTATGCTATCCATATGATAATTTCCCCATGACGACGACTACAGCACATTACATTTTACTGAATACTTGTGAGGTGTTCCCCCATCAGGGACGTTGATTTATGAACATAAATAATTTACAAACACAAGTACAATTGGTTGCCTCGTTAGATTTCACAAAATTTTATATATTTGTGAATTAGGTTTTCTTTTACTTTCTTTTACAATATTTACATTTTCTTTACAACACCGTTTATAAATTAAAGCGGAGCGTTAAATTGTTTCATATATTTTATCATGTACTTTCTTTTAAAAACGGACGTCAACAATTAAAATATACATTAAATGTATACATATATTTTGTATTAAACAAATCCATTTTATACTTTATCCGAACAATTATTATTTTGGCGACTGTTTCAAATAATTAACTGTGCCAAATTGTCATCATTTTGTGAACAACAATTACCACTTATTTTAGATCGACATTATCGTTTGAAGAAAACGAAATGACGGCTAACGAGGTAGTGCCAAATAAAATATTAAACCGTTTTCAGATGATCTTTCACTTGGCTTTACCAAGCAACGCCCATGCCAATTATAAGATATCATGCAACTCTAATTTTTGTTCATAATATAAGCAGTCAATGGAAACAAAACCGTTAAGACTTTTCTTTTGCAAGAAAATCAACCGATTAACACAAATTGAGAACCAATACCGAGAACTATCTTACCTAGGTACAGCTGATATCCCAACGATTTTAACATTTAATTCGTTTGGTACAGGTCTTTTGAAAAATTATTAAAAGTTTTAGATATTATATAATTTAAACGTGATTTGTATTTATAAGTTTTATCATGGTAATACACTTAGGGCGGAGGTCGTATATTTTTAGGTCTAAACTTCATTATTTTAAAACTTTAAGTAGGGTTCTATTCTATTGTGCTTTCACATATTTGGAGGAGCAGAGATGCAAGGATATCATTCATCTCAAGATTAAAACTATTTTTTTTACAAGCTATTCACCTTAAAAATATATATTTTGGACTTTTTTCAATAGTCGATATCAATCCTGATTAACGTGAATTCCAATACAGGCTGCCATATTCCAATATTGGGCGATTAAGAGCACAGTTTAAATATTGTAATCCCATCAATTCATTTTTCTATGATCAGGGGTGGAAGCAAGAGGGGGGGGGGCTAAGCTGTGGGGGTTAAAGCCCTTACATTTTTCACTTAGAGTGTAATTATATGTTTTTTCATTGGATTATAATATATTTGTTGTACTGTGTAATAAACGTTTACTCTATAACTGTTGTTGATATCATATATTTAAATTTGTTTTCTAACCCCCCCCCCTCTCTTATTTATTCCTAGACCCGTCCGTGGCTACGATGAAAAGCAGATCTGTTGTCGTGGGTGTGGATAGAATAGTAAACAAAATAGAAACACATCGTTATAGTGGTAAGCAATACCTTCTCGGCTCCGCACCGAAGATAATAAACAAGATTGCTCATTGCTCTTTTTACAGTTGCAGTCGACCCGTCTATAGCCCCTCTCTTGGCAGTTGTACGGCTGACCACCAACCGTCATCGCCGCCTGTGCTAGCCCATTCACAACAACAACAACAGACAACACTCAACAGTTCGACTCCAGCGTACACTCGTGTGCAGCTTGCGTTAGTGACATAATAATATTTCGTGTGTCCGGCGACCGTTTCGAAAAAACAACAATAATTCGGTAACCGAATAAAAAAACATTTTTATCTGCTTAAACCGACAAATAAAATTTTTTTTAAAAAATCTGACAAAATGACCGATACTGTGGTTACCGTTCAGAACCCCGAGGTGCCCAGGTCGGGAAAACCCGGCGCGGAAAACGCAAACATACACAACATGTTCACCTGGGTGGAAATCAATTACAACTACTTCAAGACCGTCCCCGGTCTTCTGAAATTGGCGCAACTGGTAAGTAGCTTGTCGCGGTACGCGTTAAAAAAAAAATTTGATTTACCGAAGAAAAAAAAATATCGAATACAATAAAATAACTAGCCGAGGAAAAGCCAGACCGGTAAAATCGAGTACTGTAAGACATGCCAACAGGAGCATCAACCTGTATGAGCGCGTGCCTGTACGGACAACCGATCCCATATATAATATATTTTTTTTTATTTCAAAGTATGTGCTCATTGTTCGAAAAAAACCTGTACAAACAATAAACCGAACAATGTCCCAAATTATGTCCGCTTAATTCCGTTTACTATGTAATAAGTACAGTCGCGGCAAATACCGATTACCAAATAGGGTAAACGTATACATATACAACCATATACATTTTAAACAAGTTCACTTATAGTGCAAGAACAAAACAGTGATTAGTGTTAGCTCATCAAACATTTTTGTTTTTAAACCATGCGTTAAAAGAGGGGGAAAAAAGGTAAAATGAAAAAAAAGGAAAAACGCATGAAGTCTGCGGTTTATGTAAACGTAGTAAAAGTATACGATGATTTCTTAAGGATAAGACACTTGCAGTTTTTTAGTTTTCTATTTGAAAACACTTTAGTTTATGTTATTTTACAATGTTCAAATATTTCTTTTTTTTTACGGTAACGTATATATTTAATAATTTAATACATTTAAGTACTTTTATAGTTCTAGATTATACGTTACCAGAGTTGATGACACTTTGTAAAATACTAACAAATAAACAAAAGGTTAATATTTAATAATTTTAGAGTGTTGTAATGTGTTCAAATATAAAAACTACGAAATTGTAGTTATTTTCCCAGATAATTAGTGTCTTATCCCTATTGAATCACCCTTAAACGATTTAGTTAAATTTAAATTTAAAATGAATTCGAAGAAAATTCTACACCTACTTAATTAAAACAACGGGGGAAAAAATTATCCATTATTTTCCTTAACATCTTAAGGAACAAAATTTGTATTCCAAGTTTGTGCGCGCTTACATTATTTTCTTAGAAATTCTTAATTTAAGTAAGTACACGTCGTTAAAGCCAACGACTCTCGTTCGTGGTCGTTTACCGTATTATCCGTAACCAAGTCAAGATTTACTGCAACAGAAAGTAAATCGAGCGGTTCCGTCTGGTCGGGTTTTATTAGAGATTTTGTCGTTTGGTTTTTACAGACCAAATCGTCTTCGGCAGTAACGATCGGTACCTAGTCAAAACACACTATAGCCAATCCACGTTTTTTATACCTCGTCCAAACAATATAATAAATAGCCAAACCGTGACTCTAGAGCCAAACCCCACGTGCACAGTATATATAACGTCGTCAAAATAGGTTTGCCGCACCTTCGACCGCACAAGGTTAAGTACAATAATAATATTTTTAATCCAGTGTCGCTAAGAAAATTTCCATATACACACACACAACAGCAGCTGTTGCCTCAAAAGCTACTCGACAGTATTGAGATGCTTCGACAACGCCGGCGTATCATTTTAATTTTTAACAATAACGGAAAATTCTGTAATAATTCTCAATTAACGTTTTCTTGTACATTGTTCCTATGGCTTTTTCAATAGGGCATTGTGCGCGGGTCAACAAAATTAAAAAAGGGCGTGCACACAGGCTATACGGGCTAGGTTGTTTACCGATTCGTCGGAACACCGGGAGCGTTCTCGGTTTTAAAACCATGTTTAATTATCGACGTTATAAAATGTACAAAAAAAATATAAATAAAAAAAATACACTAGATGGTCCGTTATGAAAAGCAAGCGCACAGCTGCGTGTCCACTCGGTCCCAGTAGCACGTCCTAAAATAAACGCCCCAGTTATCCGAGTATAATAATAATATAATAACACACTAATACAATAAATCACAATATTATAATATTGTACCGTTTTATATATGCATCTTTATCATCCGAGATAATACTGGCTGATCCATTGAACGAAGAAGCTCGTTTTCTCGGAAAATATTTTCAATTTTGTAGTTATTCTTTTCGGAAAACTGTTTCGTTTATGCTACTTTGACAAATTTCTAAATATGAACCTTTTATTCGACATTTTCCAGAGCTCTTTCAACTTTTAGAACTCGAACGGCAACGTACCTAAAGGCTAAATTATATAATTAGCTTTGTTAATTAAGTGTTTATGTACGTTCTCGTTTCAAAAGTTGATAGTGCTCTGAAAAATACTAAAATAAAAGGTAAATATTTGATAATTGTATTATACTGTACAATAACATAAATAAAAATTTAAAAAAAAAAAGCTAATAAATTGTGTTTTTTTTTTTTGAAAACATGAATGTCTTACGTTAAAAGTGGCATGTAGTTAATTAGATCCTTTCGTTTGGGTTATGAAACCACGAACTAGTAGACTTTAATGCCCTAAATACGGGCGCAACGCGATTTTGATGTGTTTCCAAAATTCCATTCGACACGTTTGCCCGCACGACAAACTCGGTCGTATATTAAACAAAACAAAAAACACATGTAGTTAAAAAAAATATATAATACAACTATAACGTGTTGCGTGTTAAAATATTATGTTGTTCGTATCCACTCGAAGGGGTAGGGAGGTATAATAATGTGTAAGCCTAGGGTCCGTTATAATAATGATGTTATTATTAACGACAGTAGATTATTTAAATCGTACGTCTCCCGGAATGGAAGTAAGAACGAGCAATAGTTACTACAACGGAATTCTTAGGAGCAGCGCAGTGTGTCATCGTAGTATTACTGGTATTTAAGTATTATAATATGCACACGATGTACGATTATCTATATTTTATTTCTACTCGTCCGTTATTGAATACAATATTATTTTATCTATACGTATTCGGTATTACGTGAATGGGCCCACGCTCGTGTTAAGAAAATATTATGTTCACCTACTGTAGGAAGCGGCCTTATTGTAAAAAAAAAAAAAAATAAACCTAAAAAAATAGTAGGACGGACGGGCAAGGGCGACGACGACAACAGCAGCTAACACCAACGCTTTTTTTCTTTTTCTTGGCCGCATCCCGTTGCATACAATAATAATGATATCAGTCATAAATACGGGTTTTCTGGACCTGCCCACCTTTAGATTATTTTACACACATTTAGATAATTGCCGTTAATTAAACCAATTTCCGTCTGTGCGCACTTAGTCTTGTTAACAATGAATAATACCAAGAAAAATAATACCATCCTGCGTCGACTGTCATACTGTGTGTGTGTGTTTCACGTATTTACTTTGATCCTGCGGTACTGACTAATTAACTAATTTAACGTCGGCCTCTTGCCCAAGTCCGCCACGCTCTTAATAATTCGGCTTGATGAATATCCGGCGATCGCGTGAGCCATTACCAGCTACCAAGTTTCCGGTGACTAAATAAAATGAACCACCCAACAGGGGCAGTACCATTGTTACCTACCAAATTAATTAATTAATCAGTTAAGATTAGGACTTAGGAGTAAGTAAGGACCACGACCCATTAATGGTTCGTATGTTTCCCGTCGAAAGAGCAAATTGTTTTTTTTTATTAACAAAAATGTATTCACAATCTGTACAATTTTAAACGTGATCAAAAAGAGTAACATGGCGATAAGAATAGCGTTTATGGGAAGACATCCGCAGCACCGTGCGACAAGGAAATTGATAAATTATTTTCTTTTTTTATGTAAATTAATGTAAAAGGTCTCTAGGCCATTTGCTTTTGAGTCTTCTGGGCGCTTTATCAGGAAGAAAGGCCGAGTATAGTTGCTTTATTAGGGGATTAGAATTAGATATTAGATTAGAATGAAAATTTAAGTAGTGAGGTTAAGTTAACTGGTTAGGTGTAAGTTTTTTAGGTATTTTTGTACAGCTAGAGTTAGAGCTTTTATCCAATATTGATTATTGAATAGGACAGTAATTTGTTGAAAAAAATTTAGCAACGAGTGCAATTGGATTATTTGCTTTATAGAAGCCTTTAAATTTAATGCGATTTCCATATTTAATGGCGAAAAAAAAAGCTTATAAATTTTAAAACACATATTACATAATATTTAATAGTATTAAAACATAGAAAATACTAAAATTAAAGTTTATCTGGGATGAATGAACTCTGTGTATTTTACGTTGTATTGTTACTGAACAAATAATAGTTGGACGGTACTAACTGTTCTTTTACTACACCAACCTGTTTAAAAGGAAATTTTTCTGTTTGTCCGTGTATAAAGTATGAACAAATCGTGAAAAAACTATCCAGTCGAATATTGATATTTAGGATTTGTATTTCATTTTTAAAAAAAAATACAATACTTTCATTAGGCATGTATGTATAATATCGTCCACTTAATAATAATTATAATATAATTGACAAGTATCGTTATTTCCCTAGACGAATGTTTTAGAGTAGAAATAACTTTATTTTCGTAGTCTTATTAATACGACGGCTTCTTTATAATTCCATTCATATATTGACAATTATTGAAAAAGTCTGTAATATTCATCTAAACACATGGAACATTTTCTTGTGTACGTTTTAAGTAGTTTCATTTATGGTGTAAGTGCATTCCCGTCAGTTTTTTTACTTTATTACTAATTTATTTTTAAACGACTTTTTGCGGTTTTTGGCAAACTACTGGACCGATAACTAATGAAACGATTCAACCCAAGCGCGATTCTTTTTTTTTCACAACACCACACTAATGCATTATAATATTATGTGTTGCTAAACTGGCGTGATGCTTAGAAAATTGATATCGGTTACGCTCTAGTCTAAAAATGAAATGTACAGGGTGATTCATTATAAATAAAACACTCATTTTTCCTTAAACTAATCGCACCAATTGAGTAGTTTTACTATATGAAAACATTTTCGTTAAACCTATTTAACAATATTTGACAATTTTAATCTTTTTTTCCAGAGCTCCGTCAATTTTTAAAACTTATGAACAGTGTGCTGAAAATTTTGACTGGTCCATAACCGGTTTTGGATAATTACTTTTAAAGTTACTAATAATACTAGACTC